ACAAGTCCGTTCTCTGCGTTCTTGGAATTGAGTAACAGCCTATCTGTTTATGACGTCATGTCTCTCCACTCGCGTTGATCAAGGTCTCGCGCAATTAGCGAGCGCAAACGCAATGTCAAGATAAATATAAAGCATGTAACGTTAGAGGTCCATGCGTTCAAATCTGTGCCGCTAGACAACGTTACACCTGAATGCTCCGGTGAAGGGTATTAGTATAAAAGGTGACTGACCCACATCAACATATGCACTACATATCTGAACTAAGTACACAAACCTCTGAATGCTTCAGATTTAAAGTCTATATAAATAAGCCGGAGCGCTTACTCTGAGCTAAGCCTCTCCATCTGACGGTTTTTGCTTCATTCATGTTATTAGCAATGCTTCATGACATGTTTGCTGTCAAAACGAATGCATCAAAAACTAGTCCAACGACTACACAGCTGCGTCGAATGTTTTGATTAGGGTGTCGTGTTTGCGACCGATTCGTGACATAAGGCCCAGGACCTCGCGTTTGCTTTTCAACACACTGTCTTTGAGCTCCGTCGACATACTTACAAAGGCATTGTGGAAATGTCCGGCTTAAGAGAAGCTGAGAAGCAGGTTATACTCCGCCATTGTCTTCCAGCCTGTCATGAACTGTTATTAAGGCATTTAAGTTGTTTCTTTTGTTTGAACTAACATGGCGCTCCGGCAACAGCAACTGCCAATTGGTACGGGAAGTGACGCCATGACGCATGCCTCGCTGACGCTGTCCGACATGCGTCATGTGTTTTTTAACCTGTTCTCTCTCTCTCTCTCTCTCTCTCTCTCTCTCTCTCTCTCTCTCTCTCTCTAATCAATTCAATAGTTGCTTTATTGGCATTGCAAATGTATTGCCAAAGCATTTATAGAGTTTACATAAAAAAGTAACATACATATATAATTAAAACAGTGCACACAATATATAGTAGTAGTAGTAGTAGTAGTAGTAGTAAAAAAAGTGTATAAATTAAAAAGAAAATGAATAAATATAGTGTATAGATACAAGTACAGCTTGCTTGCTTTTATACAATATTTTAAATATATTGCTAAGAAATAAAAAAAAATTAAATTGTTATTAATAATATATAATAAGTAATATTTAATATATTAATATATAATTAATATATAATTAAATGTATGCAATTATATATATATTTTTTATATTTATATATATATATATATATATATATTAATATATTTATATATATATATATATATATATATATATATATATATATATATAATTTTATATATATATATTTTTTTGATAGAGCAAATAAAAATCTTTTCTGTCTGAGCCGTTTCAAAAACTCCTTAGCCTTTAGCCCTTTATAATTCTAAACTTTAATTTATAATGGTCTTAAAAATGTCTTAAAAAGTCTTAAATTTAACTTGCAGAAAAATTCTTCAAATAAATCATTGACTTCTGCTGTCTTCATTAGCTTCAAAAACACAGATTTACCATTTAAAATGGCATCTTTGGATTTCTTTTCTGCTGGAGATACTGTTGTCCATAAAAACTAAAAACTAAACGTAAATAAAAAAATCGTACTCATACCTTAGGATAGTTTTAGCAGAAAAATTTGACGGTTTTAAAACCTTGACTTTTCCAAACCGCAGTATTTAAACACAGTTATCGTCCCATGCCTAATATACACCCTATGTATTTTGTTTTTATTTATTTTGCTGTTATTTTTTTATCACTCAATCTTCTTTTCTAGATTTTTAATGCAATATCTACATTCAATTCATTCCAAACTAAAAAATAGTAAATAAACAATTTTGTTTTTAAAACTAAATCTTCATCTGGTTTAATAGCTCTATTGATATATGATTGGGGGATGGGGGACACCACCTATTTGTTAGACCCTCACCATACAAAACATTATAGAAAAGTATGTTGAAACTTCTAGGTATTTATTGGGAGCTCTTAAATTTCCTAAGGGCCTGCTTATTGTTTAAGGCTACGTCTACACTAATCCAGATTGCCTAATAAGTCAATTCTGTCATTACTGTCACTTAGGTACACCTTACTCGTACTGGGTTGTATCCCCTTTTGCCTTCAGAACTGCCTTAATTCTTCATGGCATACATACAACAAGGTACTGTAAATATTCCTCAGAGATTTAGCTCCATATTGGCATGATAGCATCACACAGTTGCTGCAGATTTGTCGGCTGCACATCCATGATGTAAATCTCCCGTTCCACCACATCCCAAAGGTGCTCTGAGATCTGGTGACTGTGGAGGCCCGTTGAGTACAGTGAACTCATTGTCACGTTCAAGAGACCAGTCTGAGAGGATTCACGCATTATGACATGGCGCGTTATGCTGCTGGAAGTAGCCATCAGAAGATGGGCACACTGTGGTGACCCTGTTATCCGAATGTTGCAGCAGAAATCGAGACTCATCAGACCAGGTAATGTCCAATCATCTATCGTCCAGTTTTGGTGAGCCTGTGCAAATTGTAGCCTCAGTTTCCTGTTCTTAGCTGACAGGAGTGGCACCGTTTTGATGTTCTGCTGCTGTATCTCATCTGCCTCAAGGTTGGAGCATGTACAAAAACTGACAATAATCTTTAATAACAAAGCAGTCAAAACGAACAGCATCCAAAGCATCTGCTTCACAATGTCATCCACCATGTTAGCTGAATTGGTCACATGACTAAAATGCATCATCAAAAGCCGTTCATTTTCACAGTCCACACCACAACACAAAAACAGCATTTTAATATTGATCCAATGCATTTTTCACAAAGATCCATTTTTGGTTCCTAAAAACAACATCTCAGGGTGGATGGAAGGCCAAAACTGGGAGAAGAAAATATATGTTTTTTAAAACAAAAAGAAAGAACTTCCCACAAGACATTATAAATTGAATGGCATCTTCGCTTACGTTAGTCTGTTTTTCCTTATCCCGAGCTCTCCATAATCCTGGACCAGGCCGTATCTTGAGCAGATGCTTGGCAATTTTTTCCCCTTCGCTTTTGTCAATTGGTTAAGTTTGTTCCTCGCCATTGTTGCCACTGGTTTGGGACTGATTTGCTCTTCAGTGTTTGAACGTTCAGCAGTGAAAATTAAACCACACTAAACTAAACTACTGAAAGGGTCATGAAACACCAAAACACATTTTTTGAGCTGTTGACAGTCGTATATGTGTCCCACACTGCTAAAAACACTATTAGGTCACCTAAATTTCACTAAAAAGTGTAAATTGGTTGTTTTTGCGTTATTTCAAGCAAATTCGTACTTCCGGTTTGAAACTAATTTTTGAAGCTGCATCACGACCATGACATAATAGCGTGTATTCCAGTGTTGCTATTATAGTTTGCTGCAGTTAAGTTTTGTTTTCATTTTCTCTCTGTGAGAGCTCAGTCTCACGTGTGGATTAACAGTGTACACGACGCTCGACAACCATAACTTACGTGTCTAAGGAGGAACATTGTTTACCTGAGAGCTGTTCTAATCTGCAAACGCTGAGATCCCGATGCGCTTGTAGTCTTCTCTTAATAAAGACGCGGCTCTAGTTGCTGGTGATTGTCCTGTCTCGACAGATTTGGTAAGTGAGCGACCAGTGCTCTTTGTTTATTCAGTTTGTTCGTATCGAACTAAGTTAACAATTGCACCAAGTGTAAACATGTTAGCACTACAACCAAACTTTAACCTCGTGTAGGATTTTCACCGCATTTAGTGACCGGAATAACACACGCAACAAACTTTCTTACGCTACCTGCCGAGTGCATCTAAGTTTCCAGGAAATGCGGAAATTTTCTCTCATTTGCCGTGTGGTATCAAACATTGCATGAAAAATACACGCTTAGAGCAGTTTCTCAAATCAAATATCTCGTTTGTCGCGAGGGGCATGAATGAATTCCCTGAATGAAAGAGCCAAACTGCAGTTTAAGTCCACCATTTAATAATTTGGCAAATAATTCGACTACAGATGTCCATGTAAACACAGTCACTTTGTCCCCTGTGTGTGTGTGTGTGTGTTTTGACTCTGAAAGTCAACGCGCCCAGATAGACCATCCCACACCATGGCTGTTTCTCAATATGTGTTCTTCAGCGGTCTTGCGTCCTTGTGTTCTCGTGCAACGTCATCATCAGCTGCCTAAGTTCAGTTCCAATACTCAAGACCGCAAGTACGGAGGACGCGTGAAACTTCCCGGATGTGTTCTTGATATCGAGGACGCACTGATGCAGACTTGAGCACCGAACTCGCTCTGGAAGTCCCAGAAGTCATTGCGACTGGAGGTGGGAAGCGCAGAACTTTATTTAGATTTATTATTAAAGTTCAGAGATATCACTTATTTACATCAGGAGTTTCCCTAAATGAAACGGTAAAAGTAAACAAAACCATGAACATCTTAATAAAGGAATAAACACAAGGGTTTTTTGTTTGCTGAAATTCGTATGAAAATCTGTTTTATTTATATTGTGCAGAGTATATTTATAATGTTTTTATGCAAAGTATATATTTTGAAGAGGGGGACAACAATAAATCGTTGTATGAATGCTGTAATGTTTAAATAATTTACTATTTAAAACACGTGAAGGTCATGTGACCATCAGGAAGAACGCAGCATCCCATTTCTCAAAGGACGCGTTCTCTGTACTCGTGGTCTCCTGAGTTCGTTCTTCCGAGGACACCTGGCAAGACCGGTCTCCACAAGAACGCAAGTCCGTTCTCTGCGTTCTTGGAATTGAGAAACAGCCGATGTCTCTTTTCTTCCTCCGACACTCCGCCCTAAACAAAGCTGGACACGCCCACTTTTCTGACTTTTTCCAAAGTAGAGGTGTGAAAACACCCTGCTGAAATGAGGGGGTTTCATGGCCCTTGAACAGTTCTAACACAATCTACATTGTAAAAGTGCTATAGAAATAAAAATCATTTAAATCGAATTGACATGACCTAAATCTGCCGCTGATGAGGAGGGGATTCTTCAATGTAAAAAAAATTCCAGACCCAGCAACATACACTTTCAAAGGCACACTATTGTAAGTTTATTCTTAATCACTGCAGTAGATTAAACTAATCATCTGGGTTGCTCCTGAAGAGGTGTTCAGCCTGAAATGGAGTAAAGAGACACTAAGTAAGTTCAAATGTTTGTGTTGTGGTTAAATAAAACACAATATATGAATATTATTTTACCAAAAAGTCCACAGGGTCATCAGGCTTGACCTTGCAGCAGTCCACCAGTCCTTGTACGACAGTGGGCATGACATACTTCATCAGGTAGTGTCTCATGGGGACAGATCTTGCCTCTAATAGCTCATGTTCCTGCTTCTCCACCTCAGCCGTATTCCTGTTCTGAAAATAGAGAGCAACAAAACAAAGTTGTTCCAAAGGAAAGAGAACTGTTATTCGTCATACACAAGCAGAGCCTAAATTTAACACTCGCTAAAAGACAAATACGAGTTGAATTGTTCATTTTGTCAAAACTCTCCAGTCGGCTGGCAACTTTTGATTCCGACAGCATCTAATTACTCGATTTGGTTTATGTATTTAAATATCACATGAAAAGTGTGTTGTTGTAGGAATATATAAATATGCAATCTGACAGGAATGGGTGAGCACGTGAGCAGTTTAGGATAGCAGTGATTTGAAAAAATACTACAGTAATTTATAGTAATAGTTTAATATCTGGTACACTGAAAAAAGTAATAGGGTATATGCCGAGGCATGCTAAAAGGACTTTTAATTTGCCAGTAACCTGGGTTAAGCGCTTCCGGCGAACTGTATGCCAGTGCAAAAACCGGCGCGTTTAAGGTCAGTTTTCTTTAAAAATTAGCGATCTCCACTGGCTGAGTGATATCCGACATAAAGTGGGTCTCAGAATGTACAAGAAACACTGCATTAAATTACATATCCCCCCGCCACGTCTTTATAATATGAGCATTTATTTTACCCCAGTACATTGAATGGAGCTTCTGCCAAGCCTGCCAACTCTGACGGGCGCGTGAGAGTAAACGGCTTTTTGTCTCGTTTTACTCTTGAGCAACTAAATGAATGCCAAAGTTTATTTAACTGAATGTATTTTAATGACATTACAACATTGATGCTGTAAAAAAACGTATAAAATGGAAAAAAAGTTCACAATAACAGGTCACTGGAAGTTTATCAGTATGGGAAAAACACTAGCTCGGCATATAACCTATTAGTAACTTAAAGCGAGTAAACCAATTGCCTTTAAAGAAACAAATTGACTTAACCAAAATAATGTAAGTAAACCCATTGTAACTAGGAACTGTTAAGTTGACTATTTTTTATAATTAAGCAAATTGGATGTTTTTTTTTTTTTTAAATATAAGTAAACTAATCACTTTTTTTTCCAATATGCATTTATTATACTTAATTTTTTCCCCAGCTTTTCTGTACCTAGCAAAATGACATTAACAAAAATAAATCCGCTCTTCCAGACTCCAGTGTGTCTTCTAAATTTAATACAGGCTAGAATTGTAGATTTTTTTAGACTTAATGAAGCACCAAATATATAATATTGTGATAAATACAGTAATTATTTGAAAACAGATGTGCTAAAATAGTCTGACACTGTAAAATTGGATCCGTTGACTTTAAAAAAAAAAGTACTCAACTTAACAGTTCCAAGTTTCAATGGGTTTATTTTCTTTTTGTAAAGTCAACTTGTTGTGTTTCAGGCAATTGGTTTACTCGTTTTAATTAACTAATCACGTTTTACAGTGTATTTCGGAGTTACACTATGATATTAATTCTAATTGGCAGGGATGGCAGAATCCCATCTGTCTTTAACATGAATGCATTTCCATTTTATAAAGCATCGATTTTTTATTTCCCAGTACTGGGTTGCGGCTGGAAAGACATCTGCTGCATAAAACATACGCTGGAATAGTTGGTGGTTGATTCATCTGTGGCAAGCCTTGATAAATAAGTGACTACACCAAAGGAAAATGAATGAATGAATTAAGCAATGGTTTTTGTTAGTTACGTTCCTTTAAAATACAACACGCATTGTGAAATAAACACTAGAGATTTGGGGTTAGGAATTGGGGTAGGCCAGGGCAATATTACAGCCTTATATCATTATAAGCCATGACAGAAACCATGCCACAGCCATATCACCCTTCATCCCAGGACCTGAAGCTAAGCAGGGCTGAGACTTTTCAGTACCTGGATAGGAGACCACATGGGAAAACCAGGTTGTTGTTGGAAGTGGTGTAGTGAGGCCAGTAGAGGGTGCTTGTGGTCTGTGTGAGTCCTAATGAGTCCTAAAGTGAAGGGGAAACTATACTGTCAGTGGGAGCCATCTTTTGGATGAGATGTTAAACCGAGGTCCTGACTCTCTGTGGTCATTAAAAATCCCATGGCACCTATTGTAAAAAGTAGGAGTGTAACTCGGGTGTCCTGGTCCCATCGGCCCCTACTGATTATGGCCTCCCAATCATTCCCATCCACCAAACTGGCTGTATCATTGTCTCTCCCCTTCCCCTATAGCTGATGTGTGGTGTCGCACTGGCACCGTTGTCCTGTGGCTGCCATCACATCATCCAAGTGGATGCAGCACACTAGTGGTGGTGTACTTATTTACTATAAACATACGTCAACATCTTGCCTGGCCTATTTTTTAAAGTGTTTTGCTGGCTCCTGATGTTTTGTGCTTGATAAACATTCATTTCCTTCCATTTGAATGAACTGAAAATACTTGCTATGCTGTGCTTGCCACACGCAAGTGTAAACGCGACATAATTGTCACTCACCACAAAGAGATTCACTCATACAAATATGTCTGATAATCTAACAATCCATATCGTTTGCAAATATTTAAGAAATGTAGTGAAACTACAGCTAGGCTCTTGTGTTCCTTTAATTGCTTGAATTGTTTACTTGCTACGTCATTTCACTACGTCACAGACATGCTCTGATTTGTTGCTAAATAACCAGTCAGAGCACTCTCTTCAGCCGAAGCCAATTCTACATTCTGAATGAGCTCTGGCCAGTGAGCTCTGATGTTAACCTAATGAGAAACGATGTGTGGAACACACCAAACCAACTATCGCCTAACTGACGAACCAACAAAACCCAATGGCTAACTGTCGGCTTGGTGTGTCTCTGCCCTTAGGCTGTATAGTGTGGACAGGGATTGTTTTTCTGAAACACAATGAAAGCGCTAGTCTGAGTATTTTCATTCTAAAATGTCGTTAATGCACTAGTGTAAACAGCATCTCAGTTTTAGGTCCCGTACACCGCATGGCAAGTAGAGCATGTGTTAGTATGAGCAAAAATATACCCATTCCTCCAAAAGACTGGCAAATTTATCATTTTCCATGGTCTCCCTGAGTTTGTTCTCAGCTTCCTCCTGCTTCAGCTGCTGGTGCCGTTCATGTTCTTTCCTCTTCTTCTCCTCCTCCATTTCTTCTGGGCTCAGACCGTAGTTCATTGGCCGTCCGACTGTCTTAATGATCTTCTCCACCACAGCCACATTCTCACAGTCTAGAAATGACCACATGAAAAAAAAAATACAGCTCTTAAAATGATACGTTCGATTATTTTATCAAAAAGTGAAAACTGTGCTATCATTAATCATTCACATATTGTTTTAAACCAGCGCAATCTCATGGCATTTCGTAACTTTTTTATTTAGTGGCTAATTCGTATTAATTCGTACGATCTAATTCGTACAATTTAGTACAATTTGCTCATCACCCAATGACGTTTGGGGTTAGGGGTGGGGTTGGGTGCCACGCCTCCTTTTTAAAATCGTACATTTTTCGTACGAATTAGCCACTAAACTGACAAAACGTAAAACGTTAAGTTTCCTTGTGAGATCAGTCTGTTTTAAACAAATTGCCCACTACTTTCCCTCTTCTGTGAAACATAATCAATAGGTTGAGAAATGTTTAGGCCCAAGAAATCAGTGGCAACAGAAATCTGCTTTTTTTTTTTTGTCCGTCATTGAGTATGTTTGTTTACTTATGTAAATGTTAGCATATTTACCTTATTCAGATTTTATATAAATTTCATTAATATTATTGACTAATATGCAAATGTGAGACTTTTATATGATTTATATGAGTACAGTGCTTTGTTGATCAAAAAATGTAATTTGCACTGTAAAAATGAATTTGTGTGTGGTGTTTTTAGTTACTAAAATTAATTATTATTATTAGTATTATTATTATTATGGTTAAACCTAGGATTCAGGAGGAACCATACAGTTTTTGTCCAGGCTGTGGTACACTGGACCAGCTCTATAACCTGACGGGAGCTGCTTTGACACAATCTACATTGTAGAAGTGCTATAGAAATAAACATGAATTGAAATCAGTTGAAATCTTCATATTCTGTCTGGGCCTGAAAATGTTTTCTTCTTTTTTCTTCAAAATATTAACATTCAGGGTCAACAGTAGGATAGAAGATCATATACTGTAATGGTACGTTACTGTAATGGTATGTTATATGATTAGTTCATCAATAAATGAAAATTGTGTGATAAATTATTCTCCCTCATGTCATTCCAAACCTCTTTCAAAGTCCTTCATTCGTCTTCTGAATGCAAATTATTTTGAAACTGACACTGAGGAGACGAAACCATTAAATAAAGTTGTTATGTTTGTTTTATATGCGCACAAAGGCTTTCTCTATAATTCTTTATAATATTATGATTGAATCCCTGAAGATGGAATATTTTGACAATGTTTTTGCTTTCTTTTCTGAACTTTAAACGTCTCAGGATCATTGCTGTCTAAGGAGGATGAGGGAGCTCTTTGATTTCATCTAAAATATCTTCATTTGTCCTCTGAAGGAGAACGAAGCTCTCAGGAGATTGAAACAGCATTAGGGTATGTAGTTATTAACAGAACTTTTATGGTGAGCTATCTCTTTAACAGTTTGATTGAGTGCTATCTTGTTAAGTGAATGTAAAAGTGAAAGTTTGAGTTCTAACCAATGTGTTCAGGGTGGATTTCTAGTTCATCGAAATAGTCGAGCACAGACTCGTCTTCTGCCAAAGTCTGCCTGAATTTTGCAAGACTGTCGGTAAACTCCTCTTGTGTGTAGTGTTTCATCTCTGCAACATTCTGTGGAAGGCTCCGAACACGTGCTTTCAGAAAATCATCAGTGGCGTCCAATGAGAAGACGAACTCTGTGGGGAAAAGGGCAGTGGTTGTGATCTACTTTACTTCAATAACATACAAATGCTTTCTGTCAAGAAGTGTAAAGTCTTAAAGGATTAGTTCACCCAAAACATTAAAATTTTATTATTAATTACTCAGCCTCAAGTCGATTAAATCCCGAGACCTTCGTTCATCCTCCGAACACAAATGAAGATATTTTATATGAAATCCTGGAGCTCTCTCATCCTCCACAGATAGCTAGGTTCTGAGATGTTTAAATTCCAGGAAAGGAACCAAAAACATTGTCAAAACATACAATGTGACTTCAGTGGCTCATTAGAAGCTCTATGTGAGGATAAAGCGTGCTTTTCACGCATAAATAGACTCGTGAACTTTTGGGTTCAATTGCTTCATTCGCATGTCAAATCCGCTTCATTCACGCATCGAATTCATTTCACGACAGACACAGATTCGCGTCATGGGCAGGGCTTCTTCAGTCTGCCAGGTGACTCTAGCTTCATTGCTAAATGGCTAACATGAATTTTATTGAGAGAATAGCTGTGTTTATGTGCTCTAGGAGCACTGAAAAACAGCATTGATACGTCTGGAGCCGTGTCCATTAAATCCATTCAGAGGTGCACCGAGGTCTATGAGCTAAATAAACTCCTCCAGAAACTATACCTGGATGATGGAAGCTTTCAGCGGTGCTTCCAACCGAACCAAGCCCAGTTTTATGAACTGTTGTCAGTGTCGGCAGGAGGATTTTCCCCCAGGACACCAACAACAGGCACTACATCATAATCACACCCCTACAAAAGCAAGCTCCTGATTGGTTAACGCGGCGTGAATGTCCGCTAAAGTTCAGATTTTTGAACTCGATCGATTTGCGCAAAACACGCGATACACCCGTTAAGCTTGTCAATTGGGCAAATCACTCAACTCATTGACTAAACATGTAAATCACTCGTGCTTGAAGCTTCTTCCGCATCTGGTGTGCACGCAGCATAAGAACACTCAGGTTGTGCATTTACTTAAAGCAATGCAATGCTTGCGTGTTGATTTATATATGCAAAATAAGTACTATTTACAGTTTTTTTGGCACACAAAAGTGTTCTTATAGATTCGTATGATTACAGACGAACCACTGTTTTGACCATGTTTTTGTTTCCTTTTCTAGACTTTGTACTTTTCGGAACCATTGCTCTCTGTGAAGAATGAGAGAGCTCCAGGATTTCATCTAAAATATCATAATTTGTGTTCTGAGGATGAACAAAGACCTCAGGCATTAAATTCACATGAGTGTGAGTAATTAATAAGAGATTTCTCATTTTTGGGCACAACATTGCTTACAATTAAATATTAAAATATTTCATGCATTTTGGACAGTCTTATTTATGAGTTTTGGGGGCTTGAAAAAAATGTAAAACAATCTTTCGAAAATTATACTATTATTTTTTCCATGTGAAATACAAAAGATAACATTACAAAATAAACATAGTAAGTGTACTTATGCACACACACTATAATTTGTTATTATACTCCAGGGGCGTCCAAACTTGGTCCTTGAAGGCTGCTGTCCTGCAGTTTAGCTCCAACATCTTTCAACACACCTGACTGGAGGTTTCTAGTATACCTAGAAAGGGCTTGATCAGCTAGTTCAGGTTTGTCTTATTGGGGTTGGAACTAAAATATTCAGGATTTCGGCCCTCCAGGGCCGAGTTTGGACACCCCTGTTAAACTCAATAGAACTCCATATAAAAGCCAGAAACGTTTTTGCACAGGTTTATCTAAAGCAGTCCAATATCATTATTGATACATATCCTTGTAAACATTTCTCGACAGCACAAACTACATCCCAGGAGCTACGTTTTTTTGTTTGTTTGTTTGTTTGTTTGTTTGTTTTTTTGTTTGTTTTTTGTTTGTTTGTTTGTTTGTTTGTTTGTTTGTTTGTTTGTTTTTTCCACCAGAGGCTGCCGTGCTTTTTCAGATCTCAAATTTCTCTCGCAAATACCATTCTGACCTGCTGTTCTCACTTACGTCCACCAGAGGCCGTTGCCAACTGACTGATCAACCCACCAACCCCTTTCCCTAAACCCAAACCACAGAAAAGCCCTCGTGGTGGCCTGATTTTTACTATGTTTTCAGATCTTACCACATTCTTACCCTGTTATTTACTTGTTTATTTAATTTTTTTGCCTTTGATTGCCAGACTTGAACCCTGTTATCACAATCAACTCCTCTCAAGTCCGCCAACGTATGTGGTGAGCTACTGGGCAAACTGGTAACAATGGATAAGCCGTTCACACAGAGGTAAGCAGTCAGCTGGTAGCATGAAAAGTAACAGGAGCCATCGGTGGTGTCATACCGGCCCGTAGCGTTCGTTTTAAAGATGAAACGCAGCTCTGGCAACATAATTCAGGATCTCCAGAAATGTATACAGGGGTACGTTTTCACAATAAGCCTGTGTTGATCTAAAGGGTATGTGCTGCCAACTAATGATCAACAGGGAAAACCACCAACAATCAATGCATGATTATATGGTGTCAAGGCTTTGTAATTAATAAATGTCGTTATAATAGAAGTCAATGGGGCAAAAACACTTACTAACACCAATTTGTACAAAACATGAGGGTTATGGCTGTATCGTGTAAATCAAACAACGGAAATGTGTACATGTACATTCTGAGATGACAAACCTGGAATCATCACTTTGTTATATTTGGGTTCTGTAGCTCTGCCATCTTCCACTTCCATGTTTTCATCTAAAAAAATAAATAAAAAATTTGAAGTAAATGTTAAACATTTATATTTCCATTTTAAAGTTTGCTGTTGGAAAGGAGTATATCTGACCTTGGAAAAGCTCATTAGCCTGTGAATAAGTCTTTGGGTATCCATCAAGAACAAACCCTTGATTTCTGCAGGGCATTGAGTTTAGCTTCTCCATTATGATATGAATGATTTGCTGGTTGTCCAACTGGCCTGTGAGAAAACATAATACCTACTGGATTAAAGGGATAGTTCACACACAAATGACAGCAAGAAGGTCGCTGGTTCGAGCCTCAGCTGAGTCAGTTGGCGTTTCTGTGTGGAGTTTGCATGTTCTCCCCGTGTTCGCATGGGTTTCCTCCGGGTGCTTCAGTGTTCCCCACAAATCCAAAGACATGTGGTATAGGAGAATTGGGTAGGCTAAATTGTCCGTAGTGTATGAGTGTGAATGAGAGTATATGAGTGTTTCCCAGTGATGGTTGAGGCTGGAAGGGCATCCGCTGCTTAAAACATATGCTGGATAAGTTGGCGGTTCATTCGGCTGTGGCAACCCCTGATTAATAAGGGGTCTAAGCCAAAAAGAAAATGAATGAATATATGAATGGTGACCGAATGTTCAATTTTGGGTGAACTGTTCATTTTAGTAACATGTTAGTAGCATTTTTTTTTTTTAAGTAGCATTAATCTTACTCTTATTTTAGACATACGATACGGTAAGTTTTTATTGAATGCATACCCCCATTTTGAAGCATGCTGTTCTTTATAGCTTTAAGTTTCTCTTCAGCAGCAGAGAGCAATTCCTCATTCTCAGCTGTCTTCTCATTTCTCTCAAGCAGTTCCTCCTGAAAAACACACATTGGAAAGTCAGCTTCAAATACATTCACCGGTGCATTGTTTGGGTGCAGAATTAAAATGTTCATACTGAAATGATCAATTGTTCAACTCAATTGTTTTTGTCTCATGTGCTAAATATGTATCTCACTCACCAACTGTCTGATTTTCTCACTGACGGCTTCATCAACAGTAACATGGTTAAGTTTGTAGTATTTGCACAACTCTTCTGCAACTGTGCTTTTGCCAACAGCAGGGGGCCCAAGAAGACAGATTTTTATGGGCTGTAGTAAAGTAAATGCAAAATTTGAGTCTGTAACAACATTACTTGGTTTCATATATTAATATAATATAAAATATATATAAATAATTATATATATATATATATATATATATATATATATATATATATATATATATATATATATATATATATATATATATATATATATATATATATATATTATAGACCAGTGGTCACCAAACTTGTTCCTGGAGGGCCGGTGTCCTGCAGATTTTAGCACCAACCCTAATCAAACACACCTGAACAAGCTAATCAAGCTGTTATAGGTATACTTGAAACACCCAGGCAGGTGTGTTGAGGCAAGTTGGAGCTAAACCCTGCAGGGACACCGGCCCTCCAGGACCAGGATTGGTGACCCCTGTTATAGACTATATATATATATAATGAACAAAAACAAATATGTAACCTTGGTTATTAAGGTCAAATTATTAAAATTGAGATTTAACTGAAAGCTGAGAGAATAAGCTTTCCATAAATGAATAAGTTGTTGAGAATCTTAGGGTTCAAAACTAATTTTAATAAATTCAGAGAAAAATTGAGTATAAAGGGGACTTATTATGCCTCTTTTTACAAGATGTAAAATAAAAGCTTAATGTCTCTAGAGTGTGTATGTGGATTTTCAGCTCGAAATACCCCACAAATAATGTTTTATAACTCTTTAAAACTGCCCCTTTTAGGCTTTGTTCCAAATTGTGCCATTTTGGTGACTGCCGCTTTAAATTCAAATGAGCTCTTTTCAAAAGGGGGGGCCGAGCTACAAATACCAGATTCAAAACAGGACTAACGCTATCTCTGCGAAAAACTGAAAGTTCTAAGGAGACTACAGTGTTCATATGTGCATCCTAAAACTCCAAAATTTACATCAATAAATTTACATTAATTTCCTCTTAGTTACTGGCATTTGGCAGATACAGTGTGAAAACTCTAATAGCAGACGTCTGCTTCTCACTCAGGGCTGTCTATGCTATGGAAGGAGAGATCGTCACTAATGGGTGGGGCTTTCTACCCAGGGAAAATGTCAATCAAAGTGTTTCTGCAGACTGTTTTTATAAAATGTGATTATAAAAAATAGAATTAATTAATTTGGACCATTATGGCTGGCTGTATTCACACACTGTTGCCACACAACTGTGTTTAAACCAACCCAAGCTCATTATTGACACATACCCCTGCATACATTTCTGGACAGAGCGAAATACGTCCTAGGAGGTAAGGTTTTTTTTTTTTTTTTTGCAGTTTCAGTTTTCGCGAATCCACCAGATGCTGCTGTGTTCACTTTTTCAGATCTCAAAAATTCTCACGAGTGCCATTCTCGCCTCCTCTTTTAGCGTAAATCCACCAGAGGCCACTGTCGACTGACTGACTGACTGCCTGACCGACAGACCGATAACCCGACCCACCCTTTTCCCTAAACCCAACCAATAGTGTTTTCAAAAACATCGACTGACTGGACTACACCCTTCCCTAAAACAAATCGACAGTGTTTTCAAAAGCAATCCAATAAAAGAAAAGCCCTCACGGCTGCATAATTTGTACCATATTTTCACCACATTCTCACCTTTTTATTTACTTGTTTATTTAATTTTTTTTGTTTTTATTTTGTTTTACCTGCTTTCTGGAAGCATTCTTTGCTGTACTCGAAGCCCGTCGTCATGGTCAACTCCTCTCTATGCCTCAAGTCCGCCAAGGTACGCAGTAAAGCCACTAGACAAACTGATTACAGCAGAAAAGCCGTCTATACGGAGGTAAACGGTCAGCTGGTAGTGTGAAAAGAAACAGAAGCCATCTGCGGCATCATACCGCCCCGTATCATTCGTTTTAAAGACGAAATGCTGCCATATGTTGCTCTGGCTACATAATTTGTGATCTTCAGAAATATATACAAGGGTACGTTTTCACAATGAGTCTGTGTTGGTTTAAACCTCTTATAAAGGTAATTGATGCACAATCGGTTGCCTTTAAAGTCTAAATGTATATACATATTACTAATCAAAATTGAGTTTTAATATCTCCGCAGTAGAAAATGTACAAAATATCTTCATGAAACATGATATTTATTTAATATTCTAATAATTTTTTGGATTAAGAGAAAAAATCTATCATTTGGACACATTGCATTATTGGCTATAGGCAAAAAAGGCTTTAAAAAATCTGATCAAACCCTACCAACAGTTTCCTTGTCTGTTTGAATTCCTCCACCACACGAACAATGTTATCAACTATTCCAGATTCAAAATCCAAGTTGATGTTTAACCTTTCCTTTATGAAAACAGACTCAATCCGAAGATTGACACTGAGGTAAAGCAACTCGGTTTCCTGCGAGAATACACAGTATATATCAAAATTCACATTTTGTTTTCTGACAAGGCAGAAATGAGTGTTTGTCTAAAACAGCCTACCGTAATATTGCCACTGGCATCCTCCTTCAGGACTTTTTCTGTTTGTCCAGGTCCTACTGCAGAGGCAATGGCCTAAGGGAACAGACAGCAGCATGGTCACTAAGTGTTTTCTCATTGCAAAGCCAACCTAAGGGCCATATTTACTAGCAGCTTTCACTAGCACAAACCATTTGCTTTCACAAAAGAAATACTACTGCCAGGATTTACTGAAGACACACAAAATAGTAGTAAACCAGAGTTTGGAAGGCCAGAAAATGACATTTACCTAGCAAACATATTTGGGTGTTTAACAGATGTCTAATAGGCATACAAATACAGATGTCTTAACTAAAACAAGGCTAAATTTGGGCTGTCAATGAAAATCTAATAGATATTTAACAACAGTCAAAAAAATTTACTACTTATCAAATGTGATGAATGAATTACATGAACGACTACATGTGAAGCCTTTCTAATCTGCCTGTTTGATGACTTGACAATTGTTAGACGTCTGTTAGATGAACCCCCAATTTATCCAGCATACAGTATGTTTTATGCAGCAGATACCCTACCAGCTGCAACCCACCACCGGGAAAAGGTTTTTCATCTATCTCTAAATATTATAAATCTGTCAATATTATGTGAATTATGTCAATATTAGTTAAAAGTTTTTAGCTTTTTTTCAACGTGTTTTGTTTTGTGTTCAACAAAAGAAACTCATAGTTTGAAATAAGTAAAGGGTAGGCCCACATGGAATCTGCACGTGCAGAATTCCGCAGATTTCTGCAGATTTTTGACATATTATTAATTCTGTTTATTTACTTGAGTAAATGTGTAAATCTGAATTTATTCAGTTTTTATTCAGTAATTTATTACATTTTATTTAATATATTAAGGTTTTAGTTATGATACTCCGCTGGATACTCCCAAAGTAATTCCGCAGAAATACGCAGATTTTTACCAAAATTCTCCGCAGAAATAGCAAAAAACATCCGCAGATTCCGTCTGGCCCTGGTAAAGGGTGGGTACATTATGGTTGAATTTTTATTTTTGGGTGAACTATCCCTTTAAGTAAAGATCATTTTTGTAAATCTCCTAGGCCCGTTTTTTCAAAAGTAATCCACTAGGATTTTGGATAACGGATTGGATCAAATCTTGGAAATGGCTTTTTCAAAAGAAAAAACGGATTACATAATTGGATTAGATCATGTAATCCAATCTTGGTTTTGATCCGGATTGAACCTTTAGTTTGGGTTTTTCAGACCTTTTTTTGTAGGATTTGGATCCACTTTGATCCCAAAAATCTAGATTAAACTGATCCCATCTGTGCCCGGTTTTTCAAAAGGTTTAATCTGGAAAAAATTGATCCAGATTTAGTAATCCTTTTTTGCGATCCGTGATCACATAATCCAGCTTACGTGAACCAGTTTTTCAAAGCAACATCGGATTGGATCAATCTGATCCAGTTAGAAACTTTTCATGATCACTAAATCTGGATAACCAGTGTTTAAACAGGATTTAATCTGTCTATTTGATGACTAGTTAAAATCTAATAGACGTCTATAGGCTAAAACTAGACTAGTCATCAAGTAAACAGAAATGAATGACTACACATGTAAAGTCTGTCTAATCTGTCTATTTGACGACTAGTCTAGTTAAAATCTAATAGACGTCTATAGGCAAAAAGTAGACTAGTCATCAAGTAAACAGAAATGAATGACTACGCATATAAAATCTGTCTAATCTGTCTACTTGATGACTAGTCTAGTTAAAATATAATAGACGCCTAAGAATAAGTCAAAACCTAGACTAGTCATCAAGTAAACATGAATGACTACACATGTAAAGTCTGTCTAATCTGTCTATTTGACGACTAGTCTAGTTAAAATTTAATAGACGTCTATAGGCAAAAAGTAGACTAGTCATCAAGTAAACAGAAATGAATGACTACGCATATAAAATCTGTCTAATCTGTCTACTTGATGACTAGTCTAGTTAAAATATAATAGACGCCTAAGAATAAGTCAAAACCTAGACTAGTCATCAAGTAAACATGAATGAGTACACATGTAAAGTCTGTCTAATCTGTCTACTTGACGACTAGTCTAGTTTAAATTGAATAGACGTCTATAGGCAAAAAGTAGACTAGTCATCAAGTAAACAGAAATGAATGACTACGCATATAAAGTCTGTCTAATCTGTCTACTTGATGACTAGTCTAGTTAAAATTTAATAGACGTCTAAGAATAGGTCAAAACTAGACTAGTCATCAAGTAAACAGAAATGAATGAGCACACATGTAAAGTCTGTCTAATCTGTCTATCTGACGACTAGTCTAGTTTTGGGCTGTTCCTAGATGTCAATTAGATTTTCACTGACAGCCCAAGTTTAGCCTTGTTTTAGCCATGCTATCTACATTTAGATGTCTATTAGATGTCAATTAAACACAAAATTGTTTGCTGGGTTTCTAGAACTTTAAGAGGACAACATAAAAGCAAACTCTGCCACTTATTGTCCTGTCAAACGAACCAGAAATCAATGTAAAGCTTTTTTATTAAGCTTTCAGATGAAAAAAAGACACTTATGACTATTTTTGGTCACAAATGTCAAAAGGCTGTGTGTGTGTGTTTCTTTAATTTATGTATTGTCTGTAATTTGCACTCGAATCTGCTCTTTTACATGATTGCAGCCTCAAACTAATTTGTTTGGTAATTCAGGCCCAGAATTGTGCGCGAGCATTATAGTACATCTGAACTCTATAAATCACACAGATATAAGAAAAAAAAAACTGAGTGTCTGCAATGATTTAATACTTTCACAATGTCTTCAAAAGTGCTCTTGGAGTCATCAACAGCGATGAAATAGTGCGTTTTCGGTTTGTGATCGATGATCTTCTGCACCACTCTGAAAATGACAAATGGCGACAAAATATGGCTTGAGAACGAAGCTTAAAGTTAAACAAATCACCATGAGATGAGAGAAAATGTCAAAACGGCTATTTCTCAAACCTTGCCAGGTCATGGACGTGAACGGCAGGAATGTTGTTTGTCCCAGGTCCAAATATAGGGACGCTGCTCAGCTTTCCAAGCCAAGCGGTCTGTGGGAAAGTCAAGTTAGATAGCAAAATGTGAGGTAAGGTGTCCCTTATTACACATGTTCCACATACAGCTGAAGTCAAAATTATTAGCCCCCCTGAATTAATAATCCCCCTGTTTATTTTTTTTAAACACATTTCTAAACATAATAGTTTTAATTTCTCATTTCTAATACCTGATTTATTTTATCTTTGCCCTGATGACAGAACAGAATATTTTACTATATTTTTCAAGACACTTCTATACAGCTTAAAGTGACATTTAAAGGCTTAACTTGGTTAATAAGGTTAACTAGGCAGGTTAGGGTAATTAGGCAAATTATTGTATAACGATGGTTTGTTCTTTCGAGTATAGAAAAAAAAATTAGCTTAAACGGGCTAATAATTTTGACCTTAAAATGGATTTTTTAAAAAAAATTAAATTGCTTTTATTCAAGCCGAAATAAAACAAATAAGACGAGAAGAAGAAAAAATATTATCAGACATACTATGAAAATTTCCTTGCTCTGTTTAGCATAATTTAGGAAATATTTCAAGAGTTCACACTTAGCTGATGATCCATCAAAGCTTGTTTGGCATGCTGTCCCGGGAGAGAGCCCCGAGCTCAAGGGATCCTCGAGCCCGGGGCTTCCCCCCGTTCGCAGAGCTAGAGGGGAGCCTGAGCTCGGTGGATCTCAGAACTCCCCGACTGCGATAGCTAAGGGAACACCTGAGAAGGGGGCTAAAGTGTGCTTGATTCTTAAGCATGATGTATATCTTTAGACGGTGAGAGGAAACCGGAGAACCCGAGAGAACCCACGCGGACACGGGGAGAACATACAAACTCCTCACAGAAACACCCACCGGCTAGGCGAAACTAGGCCGGTGGTGTTCTTGCTGTGAGGCTCTCAGTGCTAACCACTGGGCCACCGTGCCGCCCGATCAATGGACAAGGAGGAGAATTGGGGAGGAAGGGGGGTTTCTTCCAAACGAAGATAAAGTGAACTGAAAACTGTGGTTCTTTATAGTTGCTTAGGGCTTTTATGATTGGAAGATAATGATTAGCTAATACGAGACCGGCCGTGATAAATCATAAGCACGCGATTTTCTCGAAATTAGTTTATCAACAAACTTCACTTAAAAAAGAAAAAAAATAATCACAGGGGGTCCTGATAATGAGAGTGACTATAACTGTATATACATTTCTAGAGATCGTGAATTATGTAGCCAGAGGAACGTATGGCTGCATTTCATTTTTTAAACAAATTCTACGGGGTGGTATGATGCCGTTCCTTTTTGCGCTTAGTTCAACCATGTACGTCGGTGGACTTGAAAATATGTGCTTTTTAAAATACTACTGGTTGGGTTTAACGAAAGGGGGAGGGTTGGGTCAGTCGATCGGTCAGTCAGTCATTCAGTCAGTCAAACAGTCAGTCGACAGCGGCCTCTGGTGGATTTACAAGAGAAGAGCAAGCACGAATGGCACTCGCGAGAGAAATTTGAGATCCTTAAAAAGCATACACAGCGGCCTCTAATGGGTTCGTGAAAACAAAAACTGCAAAAAAAAAAGTAAAAACGTTCTGGGACGTATTTTGCAATCTTCAGAAATGTATATAGAGGTACGTTTTCAGAATGAGCCTGGGTTAAATAAATAACTGGCATTTTTATTTTGGGGATTGCGGGCTGAAAAATATGGGAAACCCTGCACTAAAGTTATGTTCATACTACTGTGACGGTTGGGTTTATGGTAAGGGGAGGTGAGGGCGATCATACACTACGTAGTGGACCTGTACAGTACATCCTCAAGCTGCAGCAAAGACTGTCTCAGAATAAGTTGTCTGTTTGTACGGCAGTAAAGAAAGGTGAATTCAGGCCAATTGAAACTCTTTTTGCCATTGAGATGACCAAGAAAAAGTGTCCCAATCACCCTACATATAACTAAGTAATATTACTTACTACACTGTAAAAGAAATATCCATAAATTAACAGTTTTCCATATTTTGTGATTCATGTTATTATTTATGCTTTTGAATCACATTATGACACCTTGACCGTCTGACAACTTTTAAACATAAGTTGGAAAAAGTGACTTTTATGAACATTTTTAATAGTTTAAAGTGTTATATTGTCTGGGTTGGTGTTGTATATTATGCTGCAAAAACTTTGTAATAAGCTTCCAGTACATTTTTTTTTTTTTTTTTTTTAAGATTTATTTTTGGCCTTTTTGCCTTTATTAGATAGGACAGTATTTAGACAGGAAGCGAAGTTGGAGAGAGAGAGAGAGGGGGGTAGGGTAGAAAATGTCCTCGAGCCAGGATTCGAACGCGGGACGCCCTAATGTGCTACTGCACCATATGTTGACGCGCTAGCCACTAGGCTATTGCGCCAACTCTTCTAGTACATTTTCTGTTATTTTACAGATTAATTTCTCTCTATATTATTTCTTGTACATAGTTTCAAACTACTAAAATGTCAATAAAAGTCACTGTGTTAAACTGTGGAGTTGAATTTTCAACATCAAAAGTGGACCAAAAGAGATCAACGTCCCATAATGCAATTTACAACCATAAATAAACGGAAAACACAAAATACGGAAACTGTTAATTACCAGATACTTTTTACACTGTAAGAAGAACACCTTAACATAAAGTGTATCCAAATGTAGTAATGGATTAATAGTGACAATCATCCTGTTCTCAATATAGTTAAATCAATACTTGGAAGAAGAAGTGAAACATGTTCTCGCCCATGCCATACTGCAGTCCTGATGTTACAATATATGTTCCCAGGATTGACTTTTTCTGAAAGAAAAAAAAACATCAGGTTTGTCTAATATGCTAAGGTATGTTATTAATGTAAAGAAATGTGGTTCTGATTTAAGGCTGATCATTACAGTCTTCCCCAGTTTAAGCACGAGCCTCTCTGTGCTGGTGTGTTCCTTAAAGTTTGGATGTGGTCTTCTTTTTTTGTAGTCCTCTTCAGTCAAAGGAATGTCAGGATCATCCTTAAGATGAAACCAAAAAAAGAACACTGGTCAAAAAAATGCTGGGTTCCACACAATTATGTTGTCCCAACACAAAGGGCCCTATCATACACCTGGCGCAGTGTGGTGCAAGGCGCGGCGCAATAGTCTTTTGGTAGTTTCAGCTTGTCGCAAGAGTCATTTTGAGGCGTTGCGCTACGCTGTTTAAATAGCAAATGCTTTAGTGCTCATATGTGCGCCCATAGGCGTTCTGGTCTAAAAAGGAAGGTGTTCTGAGGTGGACCGCTGGCGCGTTGCTATTTTGAGAAACTAAAATAGATTTTTCATTGAACCAAAACAAACCCGGTCTAAACTCCGGCGCAGAGTTGCGCCTCGCTTACACACTGCTTAATACGCACAAGAGAGCAATAGGCAAATATCTTTACATATGAAAAAATTTAAATATTAAGGATATATATAGGATATAATAAGAATAGATATAGGATATAAATATAAAGGATTAAAATATTACAAAACATATTATTTTCTAGCCTATATAAATATGAAAAATCACTGCTTTTATGTCTTCTTCATCTCGGGAGGCTTTTTCAGTTCATTCATAACAATTTGCTTTTGTATAATGTTATTATTATTAGCATTATTATTTATTATATCCATATTTATATTTGTTTAATTAAAAACAAGCTTACATTTGCCCACCTGCAGGTTTTAGACCATATGGGGCACAGCATGTGTTTTAGGATATAACTCAGGTTTTTGAGCACATTTTGCTATTATTATTCATTTATTCGTTTGCTGGAAATTAGAACTGAATTTAGAAAATAGTTTTGAAACGGATATTTGCACTTAACAAACAAAATTATTTATTTATAGACTAATTGATGTCTGTGCGTAAAGGTTTCCCTATCCAAGAGCGAAAGTGAAAGTAGATCCATTATCTCTCATTCTCACGCAGTAGATGCTCTGTTTAACAGTTTTCTTTTAAAACACTGTTAACTGTTTGCTAGTGAAATGCTCAGTTTTTCCACTTAGACTTACTTTGCGTCCTGTAAATAGCGAATGCGCTCTTGGCGCGACGCAGCTGGCTCTTAAAGGGAATGGGAGATGAGACTCTGATTGGTTTATTCTCAAAACACACCTATAACTCATTAAGAAAATAAACTCAACCCTTTTAGACCATGCGCCACGGCGCAAAGCAGATTTCCCGTCCTTAAATTATCAAAAACGCATTCTGACACGCCCTGAAAGCGTTTGCGCCCTGTGTTTTTCGCTCTGTGCATGGACCGTCAAAATAGAGCCCAAAAAGTTAACTTAATTGTTTTTACAAATTTAAGTAGATTGAAAATAAAATGGTTAAGTTTTCCCAAAAAAACCTAATGAATTTTGTTGTTTTAATTTATTTTGAATAAGTAGTTTGAACAAGCAGCAAGTCATTTTTTGAGTGAAACAAACGCCTTATGTCCGATTATAGTCACTGTAATGGAAGTAAAATCTCATTTTAATGATATTTTATAAGTTTAAAGTAAGATCAGAGTTGCAATAAGAATTATTAAACCCCCTGAATTATTAGCTCCCCTGTTTATTTTTTCCCCCAATTTCAGGTACACAGTTAATTTTCAGTAACACATTTCTGAACATAACGGGCCCTTTCAAACACCCGGCACAGTGAAGTGTAAGTCGCAACGCAATTGTTGTTTGCTAGTTTCAGCTCGACGCTGTTTAAATAGCAAATGCAAATGTGGAATATTTAAAAACAGCACTCACAGGATCAGGTGGTTTGGTCATCGCCCATGTCAAGATCGGTGACAGCAGGATGAATATTTTGGGAGACTCAAAATGTCCGATTTCAGAATGCAGAGCTAGAGATTTAACGTATAAATAGTTCAAACGTACAGTAAACAACTAAAAATAAATGAATGCATTAGGATTTAATTAAATGCACAGTATGTTATTTATGACACTAGAGGGCACATATTCACAACAAACAAAGGTGTAGTTTGATGACTGAGTGTAGATTTAGGGGAGTTGGGGCCTTCATAGTCTTGTCCTAACCCTACCCCTCACAGTAGCCCCTTTCACACATACAGACCTTTCCGGAAAATTACCGGAAAGGTTGTATGTGTGAACAGGCCCTTTTTGAAAATATCGGTAAATTAGTTCCGGCTATTTTCCGGAAAGAGAAGTTGTAAGATTACCGGTAATTTGCCGAAATGCTGCGCTGTGTGAATGCAGAAGGAAGACTGCCGGAAAGAGACGTGAGACGTCTAATTTAGCCAATCAGAACAGTCAGACGCATTCACGTCTGTGTGGTTAATGAAAATAAAAGCCTTTGAATATTTTTCCAGACACATTTAGCTGCTAGATGTTAGTCAGATAATATTTATATGTTCTTCTTAATGCCAACTGTGTAAATAATTATCGATATGCTTATGATAAGCTGTTGTTTGTTTACCTTCAAGATCTGCGACGCGTGTGCCCGTGAGTCAGCTGGTGAGCGTCAGCACACACACACACACATCATGAACATCTCGACATGCGAAAGTGTTTCACTATATGTTTTCATCGAAGTTGTTCACAATCAAGAGTTTGTAATGTAGTCAAATGTTTACAAATACAAGCGCAGCCGTTTAGAGGTCATTTTTGGTTAATGATGTCAGAACTTACATGTATTTTGGAATTGATGTGTGAACGGTCTTTTCCGGAAAAATTCTGTAACGTCCTCGCCTGTGTGAACAGCGCTTTTTTGAATCTACCGGTAAAGTCGTTCCGTATATTTTCCGTATATTTACCGGTATCACTGTGTAAAAGGGGCTAATGACATCACCAGCTCCACTGAGTGCTTTGTGGTAGACATTGCATGTTGCAGTTTCAGCTTGCATATGTGTAACAGAGGCCAGCTAGTAAGTGCTGTGCAGGTAAATCTCACTCCTCTGACCTCTAAAGGTGCTCTAGCGACAGATGCTAGAGGTTATGGTCTTTAGCCTCCTTGGTAGGACAAATAACTCCCATGTGGAAGGTCGCCGGTTTGATACCAGCTTGGAGCGTGTTGGGTGGCGTAGGACAAGCGGGGTTACATTGGTGCTGTGACCTGGATGGGAGTGAGGTTTAGGGGGGTGAGTGTAACGGAGGCCAGCTAGTAAGTGCTGTGCAGGTAAACCTCACTCCTCTGACCTCTAAAGGTGCTCAAGCGACAGATGCTACAGGTCATGGTGTTTAGCCTCCTTGGTAGTGCAACCGACTCGCATGCGGAAGGTCGCTGGTTCGATACCAGCTCGGAGCAGGTCGGGTGGTGTATCACCGGCGGGGTTACATATGCAAGTCTGCATCCTGATATTATTGGAGATAGCTTAGATAAATATTGCAACATAGACTCCTAATCCTAATCCTAATAACGTAGCCCTATATAAATCTCTGAAGATCGCGAATTATGTAGCCAGAAATACGTATGGCTGCATTTTGGAATGACACCGTTCCTTTTCGTGTTTACTAGCTGACCGTTTACCTCCATATGGACAACTTTCCCACTGTTACCAGTTTGTCCAGTAGCTGGACTTGAGATGCAGACAGGAGTTGACCACAATGATGAGCTTCGAGTCTGGCTAAGAACAGTTCCAGAAAGCGTTCCAAAATAAACAAGTAAATATCAGGGTGAGAATGTGGTAAAATCTGCAAATGTGGTAAAAATCAGACGATTGGATTGCTTTTTAAAACACTGTCGGTCAGTCGTTCAGTCAGTCATTCAGTCGACAGCGGCCGCAAGTGTATTTACGAAAAAAGAGCAGGCGTGAATGTCACTTGTGAGAGAAATTCTAAAAAGGGTACACAGCGACCTCTAGTGGATTCTCTTGGGATGTATTTGGCGCTCTCCAGAAATGTAGTTGAAGTCAGAATTATTAGCCCCCTTTTGATTTAAATTTTTTCTATTTTATTTAATTTTTTCTTTTTAAAATATTTCCCAAATTATGGAACAAAGCAAGGAAATGTTCACAGTATGTCTGATAATATTTTTTCTCCTGGAGAAAGTCTTATTTGTTTTATTTCGGCTAGAATAAAAACAGTTTTGAATTTTTTAAAAAACATTTTAAGGTCAAAATTATTAGCCGTTTTAAGCTATATATTTTTTGGATAGTCTACAGAACAAACCATTGTTATACAATAACTTGCCTAATTACCCTAACCTGCCTAGTTAGCCTAATTAACCTAGTTAAGCCTTTAAATGTCACTTTAAGCTGTATAGAAGTGTCTTAAACATCTAGTCAAATATTATTTATTGTCATCATGGCAAAGATAAAATAAATCAGTTATAAGAAATTAGTTTTTAAAACTATTCTGTTTAGAAATGTGTTGAAGAAATCTCTCCATTAAACAGAAATTAGGGGAAAAAATAAACAGGGGGGCTAATCATTCTGACTTCAACTGTATATAGCAGTATGTTTTCAGAATGATCCTGGTTTGAAATAGTATGAAAATATGAAGCATCGTCACCTGAAATGGCCCATGTTGCCTCATCTATGAGATCAGTGTGTTCGGTGATGTTATACACAATAACATCACAGCGCATCAGACACTGCAGGAGCTCATCTCGGCTCAGAGACTGAAAAATGATGAAACAAGATGAGATGTGAGTACAACCAGTGCTCAAAATGCTCTTTGGGTATCAGTTAATTAAGTTGTAAAATAAAATACAGTTTGGCCGTCACATAAAATATCGGTCCCACTTTATATTAAGTGGCCCTAACTACTATGTACTTACATCAAAAAAATAAATACAATGTACTTACTGTGTTTATAATGTATTTGAGAACACTTGTGGCGCTTTTGAGTTGGGATAGAGGTTGGGGTATGGACAGGTTTGGTGGTATGGGTAGGTTTGAGGGTGGGTTAAGGTGTAAGGGATGGTCAACAATGTATTTACAAATGTAATTACAAAAGTAGTTACAGATGTATTTACAAACATGTATTTAATCACGCATACGTACACAGTAAATACATGTATTTACACAATAGTTACATTGTAACAAACTATTTATTCCTATGTAAGTACATATTAGTTAAGGCCACTTAATATAAAGTGGGACCAAAATATCAAATCAACTGACATTTTAAGGTAATAAAACAATAATTTTCATCATCAAGTTCCCCTTTTCTCTTACACTCACTAGCCACTTTATTAGGTACACCTGTCCAACTGCTCGTTAACACAAGTTTCTAATCAGCCAATCACATGGCAGCAGCTTAAAGCATTTAGGCATGTAGACATGGTCAGGACGATCTGCTGCAGTTCAAACTGAGCATCAGAATGGGGAAGAAAGGGGATTTTAGTGTCTTTGAATGTGGCGTGGTTGTTGGTGCCAGACGGGCTGGTCTGAGTATTTCAGAAACTGCTGATCTACTGGGATTTTCACTCACAACCAGCTTTATGGTTTATAGGATGGCGGATGGGCTACAACAGCAATAGACTAGACCAGGTGCCACTCATGTCAGCTAGGAACAGGAAACTAAGGCAACAGTTTGCACAGGCTCACCAAAATGTAACAATAGAAGATTGGAAAAACGTTGCCTGGTCTGATGAGTCTGAGATTTCTGTTGCAACATTTGGATGGTCGGGTCAGAATTTGGCATAAACAACATGTAAGCATGGACTCATCCTGCCTTGTATCAACAATTCAGGCTGGTGGTGGTGGTGTGATGGTGTGGGGATATTTTATTGGCACACTGTGGGTCCATTAGTACCAATTGAGCACCGTGTCAACACCACAGCCTACCTGAGTATTGTTGCTGACCATGTCCATCCCTTTAAGACCACAGTGTGCTCATCTTCTGATGGCTACTTCCAGCAGGATAACGTGCCAAAAAAGCATGAATCATCTCAGACTGTTTTTTTGTTTGAGTCAAATGGCCTCCGCAGTCACCAGATATCAATCCAATAGAGTACTTTTGGGATGTTCGAACTGGAACTTCACATCATGTGCAGCCGATTAAATACGCAGCAACTGTGTGATGCTATCATGTTAATATGGACCAAAATCACTGAGGAATATTTCCAGTACCTTTTTGAATCTATGCCACAAAGGATTAAGGCAGTTCTGAAGCCAAAAGGGGGTCCAATCCGGTACTAGTAAGGTGTACCTAATAAAGTGGCCAGTGAATGCAGTTTACTTGTACTAAAATCCTGAAAAGTAATAAACTATATTTAAATACACATTAACTAATATCATCTGAAAATATAAAAATATTCATATTTGTCTATATCTGATTCTAAAATTAGTAGGTAACGAGTAAAAAAAATAAAAACTACATTTCTATAATTGAGATAATTATAAAATATATCAAACTAGAGCAACTTGCTTGCGTAACTTATAAAATTAGGTTAGAATATGATTTAATGAGTTACAATGACCTAAAACATTTGCTGTCAGGAATAATTTATCATATGTTTTTTTTTACATTGCAAGGCCAAATAACACCGTAAAAGAAACACTAACCCAGTATTGCTCCGATGCAAAACTTTCTTGTTTGGCATCTTTATTCGCGACTGTTCCGACTATCTGAAAACATGGTTCATCTGAAGACGCGTCGTGTTTGTCCTCTTCCTCTCCTTCGCCGAGAGACGCGCCGACAACGCATGAGGACAAGAACTAAACAAAACAAGGTTATTCCACAGCCTTTATGATATTAATACAATTCACGTAACCGAACCAGTCACTCCTTTACCTGGGCGATATTTTTGGATGAATACGAGTCGATGTTGTTGAGAAAGACTCGTGTGGCGCGGCGCTCGCTGTTGGCCATGTTTGTCGTTTGGTTGCTATGGAGATCATTCATTCACTCACAGCACTAAAACACGAAGCAACCACTTAAAGGAATTTAAACTTTCTTTCTTTCTTTCTTTCTTTCTTTCTTTCTTTCTTTCTTTCTTTCTTTCTTTCTTTCTTTCTTTCTTTCTTTCTTTCTTTCTTTCTTTCTTTCTTTCTTTCTCTCTCTCTCTCTCTATCTATCTATCTATCTATCTATCTATCTATCTATCTATCTATCTATCTATCTATCTATCTATCTATCTATCTATCTATCTATCTATCTATCTATCTATCTATCTATCTATCTATCTATCTATCTATCTATCTATCTATCTATCTATCTATCTATCTATCTATCTTCAAACTGTTTTTATCTATCTATCTATCTATCTATCTATCTATCTATCTATCTATCTATCTATCTATCTATCTATCTATCTATCTATCTATCTATCTATCTATCTATCTATCTTCAAACTGTTTTTATCTATCTATCTATCTATCTATCTATCTATCTATCTATCTATCTATCTATCTATCTATCTATCTTCAAACTGTTTTTATCTATCTATCTATCTATCTATCTATCTATCTATCTATCTATCTATCTATCTATCTATCTATCTATCTATCTATCTATCTATCTATCTATCAACTGTTTTTTTGTCATTTCCAGGCTCGAATTAAGAATTCAGAGGCCCCTGGGCCTTGGCCCCCTACCTGACCGCACCCCTATAGTTCAATTAAAAAATATTAATAATATAATATTTTTTAAATAAAATGAATCTATTAATCTTTACAGAGATGTTACTTATTTTTAAAGCACATTTGGATAATAAAAATACTAATAAAATTAGTGAAAATTAATGGTTTTTAGTTCAGGTTACTGAAGCAGTACTAAAACGGCATATTTTAAAGAGTATTCATTGTAAATACAAATTAGTTATATTAAGATGTCACTAACATTTAACACCAGGTGGAAAATAACTTTATAGAATATTTAAATAACTAAATTATTTAAATAAAACCAGCTAGCTGTTTATATTCTGTTAAAATAATGGTTAAAAATACCCCAACATATAACTCAACTATAGCACCATCCCAACTTATTTTAACCCAATGCATTGGGTTATATAATTTAACCCATTGCATTGGGTTATTTTTATTAAATGTAATTTTTTTTCATTTTCATATGGCTGTGTATACATTATAATTTTCACAAATATTGAAAATGCTTTATTTCCATTACATTTCAGTTGCAAACACTTTTGTCGAAATAAATCAAGAATCACAAACAATGAAGAAACAGAACAAAGTGCTGACAGATATAAACTGAGCAAGCAGAAAATCCTGTGTTGGAGCCGAATATGGACCTGTAGCCGAGACTGTCCTGCAGCTTCAGCAGGCTTCACTCAGTGTCCACAATGTACGACACATTTTAACCACTCAACTATCTAATAAAAGATGGTCTTGGATGGTGAAACGCATATAAAAAATGTGACATGGAGGTGTAATTTGATAAAAAAAAAACCAAAAAAAAAAAACCATTATTATTGCATTACAGCTTGAACAAGCGTTATAACGCAAAACAGCATTGCGCACGCATACAGTATTAATACAGCTGTTTTCTGTCAGTTAAATCAGTTGACTGTTGTAATTCAAATTTTAACCTAAATGGTTGAGTTATTAAATAAATAACCTAATAAAGGTTAAAATAACCCAACAAATCACCAAATATTTAATTCAACTGGTTGAGTCATTAACAAATAACCTAATCAAGGTTAAAAATAACCCAACAAAGCACCAAATATATTTACTCAACCATTGGGTTAAATAAATAACTCAATGTTTTTTAGAGTGAACACGAAATAGGCTAAACTTTATTAAAAACCCACAAGCCACCTTTTTTAAACAAAAATATTTCCTTTCTATTAAAAATATATGTATTTCCAATGTGATGTAATGGAGAAAAAAAGAACAAGAACGAATTCATCATTCGAACCGGTTGATGATCGATCACGTCAAAACATGTTGCCATGTGCTTTACGAGCTAGGCTACTCACGCTTTTGTCAATCGCTCTCTTTAGTTATGTTGTCTCTGTCAGTCAAACAGTGGATGGAATTCGCTCAAATAGCATATTCCAACGAGGTGCGCTATTTGCACTTAGCCTAAATAGACACTCCAAAGTCTGCATTTCCCCCGCCTCACAGGGTCCCCAAGTGTGCACGGGCCCCATAGTTCCCATTCCAGCCTTGGTCATTTCCTACTTTGAATATCAATAACTCAATTAATTTGGACCTAACAGAGGTTCAAAACATTTACAACAGAAAAAATGACACGCATCAAACACAACTTATAGCCTCCACCAGAAACATGATATAAAACAATATTTTATTAAAATAGAATTAAACAAGTACATTCATTTTGTCTTATGGCCAAAGTTCATTCATTTTCCTTCGGCTTAGTCCCTTTATTCAACAGGGGTCCCCACAGTGGAATGAACCGCCAACTTATCCAGCATACGCCCCATTCACACAGGTCGTCAGCTTCAACGCTTCCTGTTCACTTCAAATGAGTGACGTCAGGCATTGCTGAACTGCATTTTGGATCAGTTGGCACCGCTTCAGAGGCGTGGCTCGCTGCAGAAGTTGGGACTTGCTCAACTTTTCAAGCGCCAATGGAAGCGTCAGCCAATCAGATAGCTGTATGCAAATACACCAGCTCAGACAGTGGCCTATTTCTGACTAATTTAATTGGCTGACGCTGCTATGACGATCGTTCCAGCCCCAACTGCAGACACTCCCTCTGTCAAGCGTTGACGCTGAAGCCCCGTGTGAACGGGGCGTTACACAGCGGATGCCTTTTCAGCTGCAACCCAGTACTGGGAATGATGGCCAAAATATTTAAAGCAATAGCAGTTATTTCCCACATACTAGGTGAACTCAGCATGGTAGCCTTGTGACATGGTTAACACTCATTTGTGATCAAATATTTTAATTAATTTTAATCACCAGTGACCTGAGAATATTTTTTAAGAGATGCCTTGTGTTGAAAATATTTTTTATGAATTTATCCATCGAGTAAACATCTTGATATTTCATCGCACAGTCAAGTGCCTCGTTTATTTAATCTGTTTATTAAGAATAAAGATTTTAAATCATTCAAGTTAATAATCGCCTTCTTTGACAATCACCCCAGTTAATTGGCACAAAATATCCCTTTTTGAAGATCAACATCTCCCGTTCCTCATTTATAAACCCCAAAACATCAACTACTCCGTTAAAAAGAGTCAAATCACCAAGAAACGAAATGAAACGCGTTCATTGTACACTCTCAGAAATAAAGGTATGAGCTGTCACTGGGGTGGTACCTTTTCAAAAGGTACACAGTTGTACTTAAAGGGTCCATATTGGTACCTCAAAAGTATATATTAGTACCAACAAATTTTAAGAGCAACAATTTTGTACTATTTAGCTACTAATATGTACCTTTGAGGTATTAATATGAACCATTTAGATACAAATTTGTACCTTTTAAAAAGGGACCACCCCAGTGACAGCCCACTTACCTTTATTTCTGAGAGTGTACAGTAGTTTTGCAGTAAAATTAACAGATACCTGTGTCAACCTGACACTTTCAGAAAAAAGTGTGATGGCAAAGTAAACATAAACATGAGGTATCGAAGTACGAATCACCCTGCAATCACATTAAAATTATCAAACTGTGCGTATTCAAAAGATAAAGTTCCTAGTGCAGCCCAACCACTCTTGGGCTCCAGAACAGCAGCATTTTTCCACAACGGAAAGCCGTTCAGTGACCCTGTGGCAAAATATCCCTGTAGACCAAAAAATGAGCATTTAAGAACAAAGACTTCTATGAAAAAAAAAAATTCTATAAAAAGGCTACTGTCTTCTACTATTTATGTGTAGAAATTACCTTGACGCTAAGAGTTAAGGTGTACCATACTCCTGCCTTTGTTCCTGACAGCCCTTCAGCAAGAACTCTTTTCCCACCTGTTAAACGCAAAAAAAGTTTAGTCACGATATAATGAAAATAGTTTATATAGGTACATACCAAACTAAATTAAATGCACAAGTCATATTCAAATGAGGAATTAAAGGACTTTATACTTTGCTGTACGCCTTTAAGGTCCCGTGAAGTGCTTTAACATGTAAATTTTTATGGGTGGGACATAGTGTAGCTCCTCCCCTTTTTAGAAAACAGCCAATAGCGTTTTATTTTATCACAGCTCTGCCAGTGAGAGTAATTGAGCTTAAGCAAAGGAGAATCATTTTGAAGGGGCGGGGCATGTCAGATACTAGAGAGCATTTGATTGGTCAAGTTTTAATAAAAAACTGAAGTATGAGTTGAATAAAACTGTTGATTAATTTAAGCAGAAGTGAGAAGCTACAAGCTTTATATCAGTTTTGTATTTGAATTTTGTGACTGTTCTGGAGCGCACTAACTCTCAACTAGATATCCTAAAATCTAACAATACTGACGCTAACAACTGAAAAACTTTAAGGCTCGTGTACAATGGAACGATCTTGCCATGCTGAGCCTCGCCATATCATGAGACCTTTTTAGAATTGTGAACACAATTTTCTATGATGCTATGCACACTGGTGTCGCCATTCGGTGTCTGTTTAGCATCGTATACACAACTATGTAAAGACGACCTGCTTTAGATTTGAGACACTTTTCCATACTCATACTCAAGCGATGTTCACCAGCGATGAGCAGAGTGACCGTGCAAAATCACACACTAGATGGTGCTTCATGAAAAGCAGAATCCCCCAGTACACAAGGTGGCGCTGCACAACTTGTAGCTTCTTCTAACAAGCAAGTGTCAGAAGAAGAGGAGAGCGTTTACATGCTTGTTAAGTCCATTCATACTAGTGGTGGGCAAAGCGAGGCTTCATGAAACACTGAAACAGTCGAAGCAAACGTGTCGAAGCCGCGAAACATTTCAAAACCCATCTCTACATTTGTAATGTTTTGCACTGGAATAGCTTCTAACACAGATTCACAGAACACAGATTCGCCAGGTCTCGAAACGCTTCTGAAATAATGGATGCTTTGAATCACTTAAGTCACATGACCAGGTGTTTCGAAACACTTTAGTCACGTGACCAGGGTGTTTTAGATCATGCTTCGGTGCAGTGTTTTGAAACACTTGCGCTTTAGGATCTCGACACTGTGTCGAAACGTCAGTTTCACGTCAGCCATCCCTAATTCCAACAGTATTTGCTAACTGGTAGTAGCTGTTTTGTTTGGATCATCTTGATTTGTGTCCTTCATCTTGCCCTGATGCATCTACTTCATCATTAGGAAGGTGTGTCGGCTAAACTGTTTTGTGCTCGACAACCACCACAAGCTATGTTTTACTGTAACTTCAGCAGCTCCAGGCATGTAAACAAAAGTACAAATCTGACTTGTCAACCAGTTTGTTCGTTTTTTTTTTTTTTTTTTGTATGGCACTTATACACCTGACATTTTTAGTGTTATGCTGTGCTCACACCAGATGCAAAACACATCAATAAATAGAGCTATTCATGCGTGAATATTTTGAGTTTACTCGCTTCATTCGCTCATCAAATTCACTTCACATTAGAGGCGGATTCGTGTCAAGAGTGGAGCTTTTGTTTGCCCGTTGACTGTTGACTCGTTGCTAAATGGCTGACATGGATTTTATAGAGACAGTAGCTGTGCTTTAAGAGCTTTAGGAAGGCTGAAAAACAGCGTAGATTCGTTCGGCGTAGATCCTGATTTCTGAGGTGCATCCAGCTCTGTGAGTTCATCAACTCAGAAACTATACCTGGAGGATGGAGGATGGAGGCTTTCAGCGGTGCCCCCGACTAAACAGAGCCCAGTTTGATGAACTGTTGTCTGATGTCAGCAAGAGGATTTCCCCTCAGGACACTACATCATAATCACACCCCTACAAGAGCAAGCTCATGACGTAAGAAAACGTAAGCATTTCACGCTTTGGCAGTTTAGTGGCTAATTCGTACGAATTCGTACATATTCGAGTTCAGTCGTAAGAAATTGTTTGATTTTGAAAAGGAGGTGTGGCACCTAACCCCACCCCTAAACCCAACCGTCATTGGGAGATGAGCAAATCGTATTAAAATGTACGAATTAGATCGTACGAATTAGCCACTAAATTAAAAAGTTACGAATTGCCATGAGATTATGTTGGAATATCTGCTAAAGTTCAGAATGATTTGAGCGTTACGCGCATTATGCGCGTCAAACACAAAATACGCTCGACTTGCGCTGTTTCATTCACGTGAATCGCGCTGCAGGATGTCTATTCGCATCTTGGTCTGACAAGATAGTCAATATAAGTCACTTTTTCAAACGTTCAAACATCAAAAGTTGTTCAAAGATCAAAATATGGAAAACTGTTTATTTACAGATATTTTTTGCATGTTTCTGCATATCCATGTGTTGTGAGAATCCATATATGCGCGTGTTGTCAATCATGAATATGTGAGCTCAGTTTGTTAGTGTTATTATATATGAATGTTTTAGTTACTTCACTCCAAAACTAAAATCCTGTCACCATATAGTTGCCCCTTTGTCCTTTCGAATGCATAAAAAAATTATTTTGAAAATTTAATCTTCAGCACATTAAATGAAGAATAAGATCGATAAAACTTAGATATTTTTAAACAACCGAATGAACGGAGCGGTGTAATCCAAGTGTTCTGCATAGAGACATCTGTTCATTATATAAAGCAATCATCATGTCTCTTGGAAAGATTTGGATTAATCGCCTTGTTTTGTTTGGATTTATTTCTTGATCTCTTTGCAAATGCATTTAGCTGTCAGAGCTTGAATGAAGACGAATGAAATTCTTATGGCTTTTGAAATGCACAAGGGCAAGTAAATGATGGGATAACCTAACCCACTTTAAATCCTGCTAAAAACCATCCCCTTAGATGCAGCTTAAAATTCGTGACAGCTTTTCTTCAAATTTAAGACATGTATTTGCAATTCTTGTGTTTTGCTGTAAAAACACACAGAAATCTTATGAAATGTCTGTTTTTGTTAAATCACAAGAACCGACAGACTCGAAAAATCATCGAGGGACTGAAAAGCAATTTAGTAAAGCGTTATTATACACGATCAATAACTCACGACACTTCAGCTTAGTAAGAGGTCGCCACAGCGGAAGGAACCAGCAATTACTTTACGATGCCCTTCCTGTCGGAACCCAGCACTGGGAAACTAAATGGAAAAAGTTAGTATTTTTGGGGTAATCTAACCCTTTAACTTCAAATCCAGCTAAAAACCAGTCCCTTGAGATGCAGCGTAAAATTTGTGACAGCCGTTCTCCAAATTTAAGGTGTTATTTGCATCAATTCTTGTGTTATGCTGTGAAAATACACAAAAACCAATGAAATGTTCTTGTTTTTTTAAAACCACAAGAACCAACGAACTAGCAAAATCCTTGAGCGACTGAAAAACTATAATACAACTTAAATATGTACGGTCACTAACTCGCGACACTTCAGCTTAGTTAGGGGTTGTTACAGCGGAAGGAACCACCAATTACTTTACGATGCCCTTCCTGTCAGAAACTAGAAATGGAAAACTAAATATAAAAACTTAGTATTTTTGAGAACTAACCCTTTAACTTCAAATCCCACTAAAGTGGAAGGAACCACCAATTACTTTATGATACCCTTCCTTTCAGAACCCAGAACTGGGAAACTAAATGTAAAAAGTTAATATTTTTGGGGTAACCTAACCCTTTAACTTCAAATCTTGCTAAAAACCAGTCCCTTGAGATGCTGACTAAAATTTGTGACAGCCATTCTCCAAATTTCAGGTATTATTTGCATCAATTCTTGTGTTTTGCTCTGACAATACACAAAAATAGTATGAAATTGGCACTGGAAACTAAATATACACGGTTTATTTTTAAGTGGAAAAAATGTTATAATCGTTACCTATGTCATTTGTCACTCTATAGGTCCCATTTGCATAAATCCAGTAAAAGACCCCCTTTGCTTGTCGGACTGATTCTCCGCCTTGATCGACCCTGGCCGCCAGGAACACTCCTCCAGTCTTGGGGGTTTCAATAAAGACATCACATGACACATTTACGTCTGACCTAGTTAGACAAGTAAGAAAATTTGGTAAAATGATTAGAATTCAAATACAAATGCATTGCTGATGATTTTGCCTTTACATCTGTCCATCTATTTGTCATGACCAGGGCTTTACATTGACACCCGCCAACCTGCCAAATGCGGGTAGATTTCAGCTTTGGCGGGTTAGACAGCTACTCCCTGTAGTTTTTTTAAAGCAGGGTCGGACAATAAGGATGGCCCAATATGCGTGCAAATGTGATCTTAGAATTGAGAAGCAGCCCGACTGAAAACAATAACTGTGTTCACGCAAGACAAAGCAGCAGAATACCGTATGAGAGGATGATTACTCGCGTGCACAGTTGATGTGATGCGCGCGATTGTTAAAAAGCGCGCACACTCCCGTTTACTTGCGCTTTTTTCCGTTCACTTGCGATCGGTTCTCTTTGAAAAAGACGAGACAAAAAACGATGCTCGTGTAGCCACAGTCCTGCTGCTTTTAAGAGCTCAAGATTGAAAAATATAGAAATTTGTAAGCAGCAGCAGCAGTCACTACTTTCGTTTTATTTATTCTCAGGCACGCGATCATCCTTCCATTATCACTCGTGGTATGTTTTTACCTGCTTTCTTTTGCTTACAGTTATTTTTGTTAATATAGTTTAATTATCATCCTTTACAATAACATTTCTTTAATATGAGATTAACTCCCCATTTGTGTGTAGTAACTGCTGATCTGGGACCTTTAGCCAGGACAGATTACTGTGCATATTTTAGATACATAACAATAGATCTTTTTAAATGTTAATTTAAAAAAATATAAATAATAAAATAAAAAAACAACAAAATTGTGGCGAGTAAAAATAGCAAGAGGCTAGTAATGTTGGAAATCTACTAGCCACAGTGGCTGGTGATCAAAAAAGTTAATGTAAAGCCCTGGTCATGACGTATATAATCTAAATCATTGTTCAGGTAAAATTTTACGTACTGTCTGAGAAAGCTCGACTGACCCAAATAAGCACATATAAAATGTTCTCCTATATTTCAGTGGCATATCAAAATTATTAAAGAGTCAACAAACATACGAGCCATAGTCCCCTATGATGCTGATGGTTTGATCTGCTGGAGCGGCAACAATAATACAGCGGGGGGAATAGGTTTTGAACATGTCACCTTTTTTCTCAGGAAACATATTTCTAAAGGTGCTGTTGACTTGAAATTTTCAACAAAATGTTAACAACAACCAAAGAAATGCATACAAAAAAGTAAAGATGTAACAAACTTGATGGTTCTGTGGGTTTTGTCTATACAAACCAATCTTTATTTTGTATTTTCTATTGGATTCAAGTCAGGTGATTGGCTGGGCCATTCCACAGCCTGATTTTCTTTCTCTGAATCCATTTGAGAGTTTGATTGGCTGTGTTTTGGATCATTGTCTTGCTGAAATGCCCACTCTGATTTCATCTTCATCATCCTGCTAATGTAGATGTTGGACTTTAGCAGCTAATATTTATTTACAATGAGGGCAGAGGGTTGCTGATTAACTACTAAGAGATTTTAGCTGCTGTCTGGGCTTACACTGCCGTTCTACACCTCCCCTTTTTCATGTGTTCAATACTTTATTTCATTTTGTTACACAAAACTTCATTTGTAAACTAATTTGTTTTGTTTTCTTTGCATGTATGCATTTCTTTGGTTGTTACCAAACATCTGGTGAACATTTCAAGTCAACAGCACCTTGAGAAATGTATTTCTGGAAAGAAAGGCGACGTGTTATTTGCCAATGCATATCACCCAATGCCTGAAAATTAGTTAACTTCCATCTATTAGGATCAAAGGAGGAGGTTAAGATGGCTAAACTAACAAAAGTTAGCTGCTGCAGTCATGGTATGGCAGCAAAGTGCTCTGATTATTACGCCAGAATTTGATCATAGTTCTTAGCCATATCGGCTAAAAAATAGATCAAATTTCCTGTCAGTCTTCATGCATGATGCAACTAGAAAAGAGTCCAAATATAAATAGCAAACAGTTTGAAACTCTTTTGTAGTTTTTGATTTCGAAATGCTAACGGTCTAATCTGATTTAATGATCTATGCTAAGCTAAGCTCCCCTATTTTGGTGGCTTATCAAAGTCACGATAGAGAGAGCAAACATACCAGCTGTAGTCTCCTATGATGCTGATGGTTTGGTCGGCATCTTTAGCCCAGGCCACCGGCCGCTCAGTGACCACTTGGCGAAGAGTAAAGGCATGGGAGCTGTTATCTGTAGTGTTTCTGAAGTACTCAAACACACCGGTTTGATCAGCAAAGTACGGGGCCTCAGAGAACGGAGGGTTATCTTCCAAAAAAAAAAAAGAAGAAATGCAGTTAGGAACGTCAATTTAGTTTACAATAGGTCTGCTTAAATCCCTGAACAAAAGCTATTATTTATTATTTAAAGCTAAACATTTAACAGTCATATATGTTTGTAAATGTACATTGTGTACTTACATATAAAGTGCAGGTTTAAATGTGTAATGTATAAAATGCTAATTGCAATAGTAGGCTAATTGGTAGGTGTATGATATGCTAGCACAGAGGCTAACTAAAACAATGCTTAATTTCACAACCCATGAAAAATGAATTGCTGAATTAAAATTAGTCACAATAAATCACGCAGTAAATGAAAGAATGTGTTCAGTGTTTTAAACACACTGAAGAAAAGAAAAAGGGGATTAAAGTCTCAATTGACAGTGATTTTACTTAAGACAAATAGTACATAAGTAGCAAACCTATGCTTCAAACCTTCAATAATCTGTATATAAGGCATGTAGAGCTCAGGGGTCGGGAAGTTCTCAGATAACATTATCCTAAAACCATATTTTTTTAATGTGTTTTTTTAAAGGTAAATGAAGGTGAAGGTTATAAAGTGTGTTGTTCATTGCAGAACTCCTCTAGTAAAAAAGGAAGAAAAAAAAATAGTTCTGAAAGAGATCAAGCCTCAGCCATGTAATAAAAAAAATAACAACGCAAAATTAACGTAAAAGTAACACAACTAACCATTCATAACCATAAAAAGTAACCAAGTAATGCAACTAGCTACTTTTTTGGGGAGTAACTCATTGTAATGCATTACTTTCTACAGTAATGTTCCACAATACTGTCGCGCACTATAGAGTCTACCTATGAATCATTCTGGATCCCAATTAAACCTAATTCCCAGGGGATGGGGCACTCGATTTGTCATAACGCTGCCTTGGTCTTGGAACATGATGTAACTACAGGGCCAAGAGTCAAAATTTAAATGTGAAAATGATCAAAATTCTGGTCATTTTGATCAAAATGCTAATGGTCTAATCGGATTCAATTATCTATGCTAAGCTAAGCTAAAAGTGCTCAGAAACAGAGATCATCTGAGTGGTTAAATATACTACTTTGTAGTAATGGTTAAAAAATACTGTCAGTTTTATCAATTGGATTTGATCTACTGTGAATAAAAAAATAATAAATATATAAGTAAATATATAAAATGTGTGTAAAAATAAATAAAAAATAAGTCAACTTTCTCTCTTCTCTGTGCATTCCTGAATTATATTAATTTCATAGTCTGCATTATAAGTTATATGACATGAGAAGTTGAAGCTTATGGTAGCAGATAAGCTAACTAAAGCAATACTTTAGTTATTCATCAGTATATGAAATTACTTAAAACACACTAATGGTCATTACAGCATCTTTTGAACTGTATAAATTAGTTAATTAAGAGTATTGTTAATCAGGCTCTGGTTAAAGTCCACCTATTTTAACGGCAGTCCTAAGTGGACCTGATTCCTAGAGGCGGGGCCTGATTTGTGCTGGAACAAGCCGGATCCTGAACCTCTGAAATCTGATGCAGCACTTCATTCTACCGATCTCCCTCCTCACACACACCCCGCCAGGCCCTTCCGCGACTCCTCAACACTCATTTTCATCCACCTTTCCCAATACTGTCGCGCACCATAGAGTGGGTCCCAATTGAACTTAATTCCCAGGGAATGGGCACTCGATTTGTCATAACGCTGCCTTGATCTTGGAACATGATGTAACTACAGGGCAAAGAGTCAAAATTTAAATGTGAAAATGATCAAAACTGGTCATTTTGATCAAAATGCTAATGGTCTAATCTGATTCAATTATCTATGCTAAGCTAAGCTAAAAGTGCTCAGAAACAGAGATCAGCTGAATGGTTAAAAATACTACTACTATACTTTGTAGTAATGGTTAAAAAAATACTGTCAGTTTTATGAATTGGATTTGATCTACTGTGAATAAAAAGTAGTATATATATATATATATATATATATATATATATATATATATATATATATATATATATATATATAAAAATAAATACATACATATAAATAAATACATATATATATATATATATATAAAAATAAATACATACATATATATATATATATATATATACACATACATACATACATACATACATACATACATAAATACATAAATATATATATATATATATATGAGTAAATATATATATATATGAGTAAATATATAAAATGTGTGTAAAAACAAATAAAACATAAGTCAAGTTTCTTCTCTGTGTGTTTCTGAATTATATTAATTTGATAGTCTGCATTATAAGTTATATAAACATCAGTGAGACATGAGAAGTTTAATACACTTGAAAAAAGTTGAAGTTATAAATATAATTCGTTTTTAGCAGTCCCTCTAAAGAGGTTAATGGACAGTTCAGCCAAAAAAAAAAAATTCTGTCATCATTTATTCACCCTTTGCTTGTTCAAAACCTATTTAAGTTTCTTTTTTTGGAGACAAAAGAAAATATTTAGAAGAATGCTGGAACCTATTGACTTTTATAGTATTTATTTTTCCTACAATGAAAGTCAATGGATCCCAGAAACCAGCATTCTTTAAAAAAGTGGCGCCTGCAGCTGTATGGCTGTACGCACTGTGCATACCTACCATGAAAGGGCTGGAATTAATGCCGCTTTTTATTTATTTATTACATAATTAAATTGATTATTAAACAGAATACACTACACCTGCCTGCTTTTCCTCTATCATGCCAAATCACTACAGCGCTGCATTTGGTAGCACAAAAACTCGCTCTGGTCCGGGAGAGAACTTTACCAACAGCTAATGTTAAATGCACTGCTGACTTTTTTTCTGCTGCACATCGAATAAAGGCAATCTTAACATCATCGATGTCCATAAAACATCCTATATCGATGAAACACGAACATGCTAACTTTTTGAACAACGAGGAAATAACTCCACTTCAGTCAAGCCAGACGGCTTGTTTTGTAATTTAATCCCTGAAGGACGGTTACGGCGTGTTGTGATGTCGGCCGTCACTGGAGAAAGTCAAATCTTTCTTTATTTTTTTCAACTTTTGTTTGAAAGCTTTAGTGGCACTGTAGCTGTCTAAGGTACTGTTGTACGAGTTAAATTATAGCCTATTTAGGCTATGCACCAATAAACAAGTCAAATTAATGAAATAAAATATATATGGATTATATGTCGGTATTGTTTTTACTCAAAAATAAATAATTAATGATAATAAAATGCTTTATAAAGCAATTTTCACATTTTTTTTACGATTCATTAAATATAAGTTGGATATTTATGTAACATGTTTGGGTTTTTTTTTTCTCTGTGATCTTTAATATATACTGGGTACTACGCAAATATTTTCTTAAAATGTCAAGGAGGAATTTGTCTATAGCTTTAATTACGAAGACAATAAAATATTAAAAATAACAAAAATAAAATGATAAAAATACAAAGATAAAAAGAGCAGAATTTTGCTAAATTCTCAAACAATATTCGTTTTTATTTCACTTGATGCATTCATTATTTAATGTATGAATACTGAAATAACAGGCTTTGGAAGGGGGCGGGGCGGTGCTGGATTTGTGCGTACCTTGGAATAAAATCCGGCAGGCGCCCCTGCTTTAAAATATCTACTTTTATGTCTAACTAAAAAAACTCATAAAGCTTTAAGTGATAAATAATGAGATATTTATCATTTTGGGTTAACTATCCCCCTTAAGCAACAAAAGAATAACATGATACAAATGATTCTTACCTATTGTGAAGTCATCGGTGTAATTCTTAGGAAACGGACATGATTTGGGGGGCTCTGGGTAGAAGCCTCTTTGTGCAGTGGTGACCGTTGTGATAGTAAAGACCTCATCGACATCTAGTTTCAAGCTTAACAAGCCATTGTGGGCCTGTGTGGAAACAGAAAAGTTTATTATCTGCACATTCCAGTGTATAAGACATGAAACTTGTATAGAAAGAGCTCAAATGTACCCTAATAGGCCTCAGTTGCTTAAACAGTGTACCATTTCCAGACTTAAAATCCAGTTTTGAGTACCACACTTGAAGGTCAGCGAGATGTGCCTTTAAAAAATAAATAAATAAATAAAATAAACAAATAAATAAATAAAAACATTGAAATTGAGTCTTTTTGAGGTTAATAAATACATATTAGACAGAACTGCACTTACAAAGGAGCCTTTGAGCTCAAATGTGGCGATCTGAGGAGAGACGTCAAAGTGCGGCAAAGGAGGACGAATGCACTGAGAGTGCTCGTGTGTCTTCAAAAAGAAAGAGAGAGGATAGGAGGAGTGTTCACAGCAAAATAAATGATTATTAAATCTTGTGACCCCCATAAGACCGAGGAAAATAACCAACTACCTACCATGGTTTCTATAATAATTGTTAAGTTCCCTTTGCGGTCTGTCAAAGCCACATAACTTCCTCCGTGGTTGAGTTTGCCCACAGTCTGCAGATAAAACCAGCCTGGCTGTGTGAATTGAGTAGTGTGTGCTATATAAAAAAAAAAAGAAAGGACATTTAAATCAAAGCTCATCAGGGAATTCACTTACAACTGAAGTAGGGCACAATATATCGTTTCAGTGTTGATATCGCAATGTGTGAATCTGCAAACTGGGATTATTATAACATGACCTAATTCACACTATAATGGGTTCCGCACAATTCCTTCATGTTGTCCTAACACAGATCCATTAATGTAGTTAACATAACCATTTTAACAAATTTAAGTGGATTGAGCATAAAATAATTAAGTTTTCCCATAAAAAAAACAAGAATTGTGTCGATTCAGCTAATTTCGAATAAGTAGTTTAAACAAGCAGCAATAATCATTTTTGTTAGTGTGATAGTGTGAAAGTTTTTATTTTTATTTTAGTGTGTTTTTAAGGCATGTGACTAATATTTCAGGTGAATTTAAACTATTTGGCCACAGGAAATGACATTTTTTCACTTAAAGGGCCATGACACCCCCCACTTTTTCAAAAGATGCGTGATTAATGGGGGTGGAGCTCCGAGAGCACAGGGCAGGAGTGGGCGTGGCCAGCAGGGGAGAAGGGGAGAGAACAACTGTTGTTGACAGTTAGCTCACAAAATGAGACAAACCGTGAGGAGACGCATGAGTTTATAGTTCACAAAGTTAAAATGCAAAGAAATAAACAGTAATTTAATGCCCTGCTACATTTGTTATTCGTAATTTCATATACACATAACCACAATTTATATCATTATAAAGATAAGTGTGTTCATGTAAACACTATAAATGAGGATTTTCCCTCAATCCCCGGGTCTAAATTATAGATCTGAATGCAGACTCAGTGCAGCAGGTCTCCTGACCTGTCTATTTTAACCATTAGCCCTGCTGGTAATATAGAGGATTTAGGCAAACACAGCAGCACAGCGATGTGTCTGAATGTGAACGAACTCCTGATAAAAGTCAACGTCCGTCACTCTTCAATCCTTGTATTGCTCTCCTGACAAACATGCTTGCAGCACACACACAGCTTTGCTGTATGATCGGCCCTGACAAGATCGCAGGGAAAAACATGCAACAAACCCCCAGGATCATGGAAACAAACACATACAAGCCTTCATGAAAGGCTACTGCGTGCCGCGAGTCCGTGTCTCACAGCTTGCTTGAAACTGGCAGGTCTGCCTTGCCTTCAGAATGCACATGCTCTCATGAATAATTAAGTAGCCGGCTCTTCTCATAGGATAAGAAAACTCCGCTATGAATAATAATGAGAAACCGACGCGTCATCATTGCACTTGCAGTACTGCGCTACGTCGCCGATTTTGAACCCGCCCCAAAAATTATTTTAAACCCGGAAGCTGAAATGAGCTGACAAAAGCTCAAAATTATCCAGTTTTTCCCACAATTAAAGCTGACAGGTGCTAACATTGTCTTAACTGATGCTCAACACACACACATCTGTTAATATATTAAAAAAAGTTCTCCAGGGTGTCCTTAACCTTTAAAGATTAAAGGTCCTGTGAAGTGCTGTAAAATGTGCAGTTTTTACTCAATGTTTGATGTAATCTCAACTAAGAAAAATGTAGAGAGGGTGGGACATAAGGTTAGCTCCTCCCAGTTAAAAAAAAAAACAGCCAATAGTGGCTGTTTCTCAATTCCAAGACCGTAGAGAACGGACTTGCGATCTTGTGGAGAGCGGTTTTGCCAGGTGTCCTCGGAATAACGAACTCAGGAGACGCGAGGGCAGAAAAGGCGTCATTTGAAAAATGAGATGCTGCGTTCTTTCTGATGGTCACGTGACCTTCACACGTTTTAAATGGTAAATTATTTAAACAGTGCAGCATTCATACAACGATTTATTGTTTTTCCCCTTTTCAAAATATATACTGTGCATAAAAGCATTATAAATATACTCTGCACAATATAAATAGAACAAATTTTAATACGAATTTCAGCAAACAAACACCCTTAATGTGTTTATTCCTTTATTAAGATGTTCATGGTGATGTTTACTTTCACTGTTTCATATAGGGAAACTCCTGAGGTAAATCAGTGATATCTCTGAACTTTAATAATAAATCTATATAAAATGCAGCGCTTCCCACCTCCAGTCGCAATGACTTCTGGGACTTCCAGACCGAGTTCGGTGCTCAAGTCTGCATCGGTGCATCCTCGATATCAAGATCACATCCGGGAAGTTCCACGTGTCCTCTGTACTTTGAAATTGTTGCAAATTTATTAAAAATAAAAAGCTGAAACGTCACATACATCAGTATTCACAGCCTCTGCGATGAAGCTCTAAATTGAGCTCAGGTACATTCTGTCTTCACTGATCATTCTTGAGATGTTTCAGCAGCTTCATTGAGTTCACCTGTGATAAATTCAGTTGATTGGACATGATTTGAAAGGCATACACCTGTCTATATAAGCTCCCAGGGTTGACAGTGCATGTCAAAGCACAAACCAAGCATTTGCCTGTAGACCTCCAAGACAGGATTGTCTCGAGGCACAAGGCTGGGGAAGGTTACAGAAACATTCCTGCTGCTTTGAAAGTTCCAATGAACACAGCGGCCTCCATCATCCGTAAATGGAAGATGTTTGGAACCACCAGGACTCTGAGTGATCGGGGGAGAAGGGCCTTAGTCAGGGAGGTGATCAATAACTTGATGGTCAATGTCTGAGCTCCAGCGCTCAGTCTGTGGAACAGACTGAAACTACCATCTAAAAATATTCATTCATTCGTTTTGTTGTCGGCTTAGTCCCTTTATTAATCCAGGGTCGCCACAGCGGAATGAACCGCCAACTTATCCAGCAAGTTTTTACGCGAGGATGCTTTTCCAGCCGCAACCCATCTCTGGGAAACATCCACACACACATTCACACACACACTCATACACTACGGACAATTTAGCCTACCCAATTCACCTGTACCACATGTCTTTGGAGTGTGGGGGAAACCGGAGGAAACCCACATGGAAACCCACGCGAAGGCAGGGAGAACATGCAAACTCCACACAGACACGCCAACTGAGCCGAGGTTCGAACCAGCGACCTTCTTGCTGTGAGGCGACAGCACTACCTACTGCGCAACTGCCTCGCCCCCATCTAAAAATATATTTTAATATTTACTTTATTTGTGCTTATTATTATTATTATTAGTACAGTGAAGACTTTATGGTATTATTTTACATTCTAAACCTCAGTGCTGTTAAATGCCACTGAAATCCATGACGTGCCGTTTATTTCATTTGTATCTTTCGATGCTTGCTTGTATAACTTTGCATATTTTATGCAAATGCACTTGCCTACAAAATCATCCATCAATGTACAAAAATTCTTTCTAAAAACTCAAGTTGATCTTATGTTCATGTCGCAAAATATATAAATCACATAAAAACAGAAATGTTTTTTTAATACTGTGCGTCTCTAAATTAAAGACAGAATTATTATAGCTGAAATTTGAATTCTTTAAAAAAACTGTTACTTAATTAAACTTTTTTAAATATTAGAAATAAGTTATTCAATTGAGTATAAGAACTTTATACTTTTTCTTTGCCATTTTGAGACATAATATTTTTCAACTTATTTTGCGAGATATTAATATTTAGCTTAAACTGCAATTTAAAGATTTACCTATGTAATTATGCTAACTAGGCAAATTAGCAACAACTGTGGTCTGTTCTGTAGACAATCAAAATAAATATATTTCTTAAGGGGGCAAATAATATTGACCATAAAATTGTTTGTAAAAAAAATTAAATAAAATTTAATTTTTTAAATTTTTATTCTAGCCAAACTGAAAAAATAAGACTTTTCCCAGAATAAAAAAAAAAGTATATATTATAGGAAATACTGTGAAATTTTTTTTTGGTCTGTTAATGGTCCTAACCCGAACCCTAATGAGAAGTTCTTAAAAAAGAATGCAAATTTCACAGGAGGGCAACAAACTTTGACCGTAAGTGCTACAATAATATCTCACATGCTTATTTTATGAACACGTTTCAGGGAGGTTTTTCACGCAAGCACATTTGAGCTTGTGTAAGATCCAGTGTGGTTTTCACACATCATGCTGGAGCTTCCTTTTACAGCACAGTACCCAGTGTTTGGTGCAATTAGTTACAAACTAACTAGATACTGTAAAATCTTTTACGCTGAAAAAAGGAAATTAATTTAATTATTAATGTACCTAAATTCAACAATAAATCTATTCAGGTAATATATTGAATATATTGAATTTGTACAATTTCCCACCTAAAGAACATTTATCATGACAACTGCGTGTACTTAAGAAAATTATTGAGAAATTAAGTTGACGACAATATGAAAGTATAAATTTAGAGTAGCAGAGTTAAATAGATTTGCTATTCAGATATTTTGCACAATTCAATGTAATACAATTATTTTATTTCAGTCAGCTCAACTGCATATGCTTAAGAAACATTGACATTTAAATTTATGGCAGTATGGATGAAAAATGGTGTCATTACTTTTAAACTTTCTGCGCTTTAATACATATAGGCCCAGTTTCACAAACATGGCTTAGATTAGGCCAGGACTAGGTCTTAGTTAAACAAGGTTATTTAAGTCACTTTTATAAATAATGGCCTTTGAAAAATTTTACTGTTGTGCACCTGGAGACAAAAAAATTACACTGACATATTTTAAGACATCTCACCGCAAGTTATTTTGAGTTGAGACAGCTCAAACATGCAATTTAATCCCGACAAGCCTTAAACCTTGTTTGTGAAACCGGGGGATATTGTTTCAATTTTAGGTGTTTATTTCTATGTTCAATAAAGCTAATAATACTAGTCTCATGACAATAAACAAAGCTATGGAAAAGTAATTTGAGAAAACTTGTATGATTTACATTGGTAGAATTTAATTGTTTGTCAATATTATTATTATTATTATTGAATTAATGCTTAAAAATGTTGACCCAAAAATCTGCCATTTTGAAAGTGACAAATTACACAAATGATGTGTGCTGATTCACGACTATTAAAAATACATTACCAGTCATCCATATTGGAGATTCCACTATATAATGTCCACTCCAGGGCTCCTCTGCCGTCATCAGACCATCTCTACCAAATGACAGATTCTCATAATAACTTGCTATTACATTCCAGGATATAGTCCTAAAAGAAAGCAGTCGGTCAGCATAAAGACACATATACAATAAAGAAAAGAGAGAAGGGTGTGTGAAATCAGCTCACGAGGTCATTTTGCCATTCACGTAGTTCTGGTTGAGAATGCGAGCCCAACATCCGGCACCGATGTCGTCATTGTAGGTGCTGTAGTCTTCAGATGACCAGAGCTTTCTCTCCGTCAACAGAGCTTCCTTTACTGTGTTGGTTCCTGGGTAGTGGACACTGTAAAGAATGTAAACCGTGATTACAGGTTAGTTTTATGCTTATTAGATCAGCTAGTAGGTTGATTATATGGGTAGATAGGGCATAATGTACCAAACACCCAACTGTAAATAAGTGATGGGATATTAGATATAAGATATGGGACTCGTGAATAGGCAGTGATCGGTGTCGTTATAATGGCGTCGGTAAAAAAGGTACACAACCAACAGGAACCAGCCAACAGTATCTGAGGTGTTCGCTAAAATGACTAAGTACTAGTGTGAAAATGAAAGATTGAACCAGTCTACTGACCCGCTGACTGCCTGGACCCACTGTCTCGAGTGCATGACAGTGTATGTGTGTGTGTGCCTGTGTGTGTGAATGCGTGTGTGTGTGGTCACGTGATGTGCGTTTTCAGCGGTAGTGAGGAAGGAGGGCTGCTCAGAAATGCTAAACGCCAGTATGGATGTGGATTGTTGTCGTTCTAAAATAGCATTTAAAAATAAAGACCCATTAGTGAAAACGGGGCATGAGTGTGTATTTTTCGCGAGCGGATTTGCAACGGGGGCGGAGCGGAGGATCGTGATGTGCCCATCGTCTCAACCCTAATACGTACATAGCAGAGCTTGCAAACTGTGTTTTTTTGTCACTCCCAGCAGCCACTTTGGATGATTGAAAATAATTTTAAATTGTGGTTTTCTTAAAAGCAGGGTTCAACTATAATGCTGCGTTCACACTAGACGCGGCACGCGCGTCAAGCGCGAGGGATTTACATATTAAGTCAATGCAAACGCGCGAATAGACATCCTGCGGCGCGATACACGCGAATAGCGCGGCGCGAATGACGCAAATTGCACAAGGCGAATTGAGCGTTTTGCACGTTTGACGCGCTTAACAAGCGTTTCGCGCGAATCTCTCGAATTCGAAAATCTGAACTTCAGCGTACATTCGCACCGCGTTAACCAATCAGAAGCTTGCTCTTGTGGGGGCGCGATTGTGACGTAGAACCTGTTGTAGGTGTTCAGAGGGAAATCCTCCATCCTTCACTGACAACAGTTCATCAAACTGGGCTTGGCTCAGTCAGAAGCACCACTGAAAGCCTCCGTCATCCAGGTTAAGTTTCTGGAGGAGTTTATAAGCTCACAGAGCTGGATGCACCTCTGAAAGGATGTAGTGGACTCAGACACGACCATAAACGTATCGACGCTGTTTTTCAGTCTCCATAAAGCACACAAACACTGTTATTTTCTTCATAAAATCCATGTTAGCCATTTAGCTATGAAGCTAGAGTCACCGGGCAGACAGAAGCCCTGCCCATCATGCAAATCCGCGTATGTTCTGAAGTGAATTTGACACACGAATGAAGCGAAGTTTGACGCGCGAATGAAGCGAGTAAACTCAAATGTTCACGCGGCTATTTATCCGCGCATTCCGCGTCTGGTGTGAACACAGCATAAGGATGACCCAATATGCGTGCAAATGTGATATTAGAATCAAGTAACAGCACGACTAACAAAAATAATTGTGTTCGCGCAAGCAAAAGAAAGCAGGTGAATACCAAATGAGAGGATAATCACTCCCGCTAACAGCTAATGTGATGCGTGCGACTGATTAAAACGCGTGCGCGCTCCCGTTTCCTTGCGTGAAGCAACCTTGCCTGGAAGGCAAGTGATCAGTTCTCTTTCAAATAGACTAGACAAAAAGTTATGCTAAGGCACCCACAGTCTTACTGCTTTCAACAGCTCCAAATGTGTCTTTGTAAGCAGCACAGGATATTAATTGGCCTTTACTCTGTGCGTGTGATCATCCTTTCATTATCACACACAGTATGTTTTTCACCTGCTTTCTTTTGCTTGCGGTTATTTTTGTTAATATGGTTTAATTATCCTATCTCTCTCTTTTTTTTACAATAACATTACTTTAATATGAGATTAACTCTCCATTTATGTGTAGTTAGCTGGTGATCTGAGAAACCTTTAGCCAGGGCGGATTACTGAGCATAGTTTTAATACATGACAGTATTTTTTTTTTTTAAAAGTCAATTGTTTTTCTTTGTTTTTTTTATGTGTTGTTAAATAAAAAGTATTGTATACAGCTTTATTTTGCTTGTTTTGACACATTTAAAATTTGTGGCTAAGAATTAATTATTAATTGATGTGGTCATAGATTTAATTTCGAGTTCTGAAAAGTCATGTGAAATAACAAACTAATTGCAATATAACACCATGACCCGTTTGCTTATACCCGACACACAAAAAGTGAAATGAACGAGGAGGCATGTGGACATAACATAAAATCTTAATCAAGTATTTTAGCTTGTTAAAGTCATATTTATGCATATAAAAAATATTTTCCCAACAACAAAATTATGGCTAGTGAAAATACAGTGGCTAGTAATGTTGGAAATATACTAGCCACAGTGGCTGGTGATCAAAAAAGTTAATGTCAAGCCCTGTTGATTACTACTCTTAAATATGTCTATTTTATATGTCTGGTCTGTTTTCCCCCCCATTGAACACGCTATATTTTATTTTAAGAAACATTTTAAATATTTTGGAGAAGTATGTCAGGCTAAATAATTCAAATTAATCATTGACGTCTTCATAAGCTTCCAAAACTTCTTTAACTTAAAAAGGCATCTTTGGAGATCTTCTTTTCTTTTGATATACAGTAAGCCACAGCACCGTTCAGGTCTATAGCAGGCTTGGATTATGGTTTATAAGGGATTTGTTTTTCAGATATTTCCTGAGTGATGGGCTGACCAGTAGCTTTTGACGTGGATTGCCCTTTTCTGCTGGAGATACTGTTGCCTAAAAAACTAAATAATATATATATATATAAATAGCATATACTGTAGAAACAGTATAACAAAAAATGTTAGCTGTTTTAAGGTCATAACTATTCCAAACCGTGATAAACCTTGAAACTAGTTATCGTCCCATGACTGCATTTGGGTGACAATTGGGAAAGCATTCTCCTTGAATCACTGAACATATTACACTGCTATTGCTCACCCTATGACCTCGACAGCATCATTCAGATATGGATCATCCAGCATGGCAGACGCAATAGACCAGTCTCCATCTGCAGCAATGATGCCGATATTCGTGAAGCCAGCTCTGTCCAAAGCATCTCTCAGCACCTAGGTGAAATGTTGATGCGGTTACTGACAATACAGTTAGTTATGTTTTAAACTAAAAAGGATATCCAGTTTACCTTAATGTATGTCGGATCAAATGCTTTCTCATTCCAAATCTAAAAATAAATACATCAAACAAATCAAATAAAAATAGAAGTTAAATAAAGAATGTTATTAAAGAAAACGACATCAGTAATAGCCATAACATAATTAAGTAATAGACATATACGATTAATTTGGAGCGAGTAATTATCAGCTAGTGCTTACATACCCCGATATAATCAATGTCAAGGTTATGATGCTGCTTTGCTCCCATGACCCATGTGATAACATAGTTGGCTGTAACATTTGGAAAAAAGTAAGGCCATTGGGTTCCGTATCCAACCCATCCGGGAAATGCCCAGGGAAGACCTACATAATCAGATCATTTAAATCAACTCAAATTTCTTTGAGTTCTATATTACTTTTGTCCTTAATAATAAAAATGGAAAATGCAGCTTGGAACAAACGGATTACCGATCAGCTTAATGTTTGGATTTCTTTTCTTGGCTTCCTTCATAAGCCACCACTCGTATCCACGGAAAAAATTCCCCTCATCCTTACTGTGCATGTGAGAGGGTTCTGTGCCATCTGTACAAAAGACATGCAACATTAGATTAGTCTTGTTTCTAGTCCTAATATCTAAAAATTGTTAAATCAGGAAGCATTTTCTAGACAAGCGAAACTATAGTCTTGTTTTAAGTGAAGTTTATTTATAAACAAATTTCGAGAGGATCACGTGCTTATGATTGTTCACAGCTGTTCCAATTTTAGCTAATGACTGATTATCCTATCAGATGATCCTTAACTCACTATAAATAACCAGTTTTCTCATCTCAATATCTTCGTCTTGAAGAAACCCCCCGCACCCAACCCTACTTTCCCTTCTTTCAAACGGGCGTCCCGGTGGCCAGCGATTAGCGCTGCTGCCTCACAGCAAGAATGCCCCTGGTTTAATTCCTTTCCAAACCAGACGGCATTTCTGTGCGCAGTTTGCGCGTTCTCCCCGTGGTCGCGTGGGTTTTCCCCGGGTCCTCCGGTTTCCTCCCACAGTTCAAAAACAAGCACTCTAAACAATTAATCCAAATACTTTAGCTGAAGTCTGAGTACACCTTTCAGCATACATATCTGACACTTAGCTACAACAAGCAAGAAGGGGAGTCATCGAGATCTACCTGAGCTCAAACTCCCCTCAAGCCTTGCAACGGGAGGGAGCCCAGGGCTCGAGGATCTTATAAGCTCAGGGCTGTCTCCCGGGACAGCACGCCAAACTAGCTTTACTATCAATCATCAGCTAAGTGTGAACTCTTGAAGTAATAATATGACAAAATCAGACGAGTTTTTCCTTAAAGCATGCAAAGTAATCAACCAATGGGGCACGTAAAATAATCAAATTTTTCATTAAGGCATGAGCTTACTTTACTAACCACATTGGCAGATTATTTTGCTTGTTTTAAGAATAAAGACTCACTTCATTTTGTCATATTATTACTTAAAACAGTAATAGTTCACTTCCATTCATTTAGCCTTTCCACTTTTTCTAATACACATCGCACTGAACGGGCTTCTTTTGAAACCCTGTCTGGCACAAAATGAAAAGTGTGGAACTTTGGTAAAAAAACCATGGACAACCAGACAGATTATTTGAAATTAGTGTAAATGGGCTTTCCAATCCTTAAAATAGCGTACAGATCTTAATCATCAATTTATTTGCCATATACAGTTGAAGTCAGAATTATTAGACCCCCATTGATTTTTTTTTCTTTTTTTAAATATTTCCCAAATTATTTTTAACAGAGCAAGGAAGTTTTCACAGTATGTGATAATATTGTTTTTCTTCTGGAGTAAGTCTTATTTGCTTTATTTCAGCTAGAATAAAATAAAAAGTTTTAAATAAAAAAAAACATTTTAGTTTCAAAATTATTAGCCCCTTAAGCTTTATTTTTTTGGATATTGTACAACAATAGTTTGTTCTGTAGACTAACTACCCTAAATACTCTAACCTGCCGAGTTAACCTAACTAACCTAGTTAAGCCTTTAAATGTCACTTTAAGCTGTATAGAAGTGTCTTGAAAAATATCTAGTAAAATATTATTTACTGTCATCATGGAAAAGATAATATAAATCAGTTATTAGAAATGAGATATTAAAACTGTTATGTTTGGAAATGTGCCTAAAAAATAAACAGGGGCTAATGATTCAGGTAATTCACTAACATGAAAACTAACTAACTTAACTGACCATACAAGCAAGGTGAACAACTTCCTGTTGTTTTTTGTCTACTTCAGCAAGTTAGTACCACATGATTCATGTCATATGACTGACATACATTGTTTTTAAAGAACCAGTGAAGGAGTTAAACTATTGCTTTCTATGAAATAACAATAAAATGTTACAGAAAACTAACCAATAAGCTTTCAATTTCAAGACAATTTTCTGAATTAGGTATTCTCTTCAGAACAACTGCATAACCCTGATATATTTTATGTTTTATCCTTGATTTATACTCAAATCAAAAACTTGGTTGTTTATTTTAATGTCTTTTGGATAATTTGATATACCTAAAAAGCTATAGACAGTCAGATATGCAAAACAGAAGGGAAAATACACAGAAAATACTTTGCTTCACCTGTGGTTTGAGCATCGCCTCCTATTTCTACCTTGAGGATGTGAAGTGAAGCTCCAAAGTTGGGCTAAATAAAACCAAACCCACATATATAACACATTAATAATAACGTATGATTATTATAAAATACATCATTAATAAAAAATTACTAAAACGAATGACTAAATACCTTGAATAAGTAATCCAATATCTGACTCCGATAGGGTTCTTCATAATTGACAAGAAGTCGAGAAGTGGCCTGAAAACAAACAAACAAACAAACAAACAAACAAACAAACAAACAAACAAAGAGTTAATCAACAACTGGCCAACTTTTGACAGACACATTAAACTTGTGAACATGACTTACTCCTCCACCACTTAAGCCCCCTATTCCATCAAACTCCCGCCCTAAACCAATCCGATCATCTATAACATAAAACTGAGCCGAACATCCGAGAATGACGGAGATTATGCACAGAAAATTGTGCGTTTGCATGATTCGACTGGAGTTTCAATGAACTGCGGCTGAAGTCTGTCATGAGGATGTTTATGATTACCAGCAGCTATTACTTCCGCGTCATGTGCTCATATTGATATACACGCGAGACGCATGATAATCAGTCATTAGAAAAGAAACGCAATCACGCAATGGTGTATAATCATAAATACTTAGTTTGCAGTTCGTTTTTTTAACGTCCATGTCTTTTCTATTTCTGCTTTTCAAGCGTAAAAACTACAAAATCATAAATCGTCACGTCGCTTCACAAGAAAGCGCCATGATTGGTCGGTAAGTATAGCGCACTTTGATTGGCCCTAGGCTTTCATAACATCGCAATTCATTGATCGCTGAACGCGTCGCGGTTTAATCTCTCAATGATTGGCTCCTAAACGCGTCGCGCTCATAATGCTCATCATTGATTGGCTTTTAAACGCGTCGAACTCGCATCTCTCATTATTGATTGGCCACCAAACGCGTCGTTCTCATTCTAGGAAGTGAAAGCGCAGAAAGCGTTTCTATTTTCTTCCTCAGCTAGTGATTAACTCGTAATAACAGCGTATAATAGACTTTCTGAACGGCGTTGCAAAGATGTCGGTCGCAAATCCGAAACAGACCATAACGAATCCAGTAAGTTTATCTTAACTTTGTTTGCTTACAGGCGGATGTATATGATATGACGGGGGTCATATTTGATAATGTTTCATCTGTCTGTGGTGTTTGGATAAACACGTGTATATTGAAAACGTATAAGGTAGAATAAATGTTGTCTGTTTGTCTCATTCTTATCATTTTTGTCTGTAGACGATTCCTTATATTGGTACCATCCTGGGAGGACTTCAACCCGGCGAGATGGTGCTCATTCAGGGCACTGTGCCCAGTGGTTCTGACAGGTGACAACTTAAAAGGATCGATTTTGGCTTCATGTTTAAAGGATCCTTTCTATCCAGTAATTCAGTAAAAATTGAGGTGGAAGGGAACATTTCTTTTCATGGGTGGAAATTGTACTACTACAAACTGAAATATGAGATAACGGGGGTGCTCAATCCTGTTCCTGGAGAGCTACCTTCTTAAAAAAGCTTAAAAAAATAAAAAGCTGTTTTTATTCTAGCAAAAATAAAACAAATTAGACTTTCTCCAGAAGAAAAAATATAATCAGACATACTGTGAAAATTTCCTTGCTCTGTTAAATATCATTTGGGAACTTTTAAGAAAGAAAAAAAATATTAAAGGGGGGCTAATAAATCTGACCTCAACTGTATATAAGAAAGTGGAAGTGTGGAAAGCATTTATATTTTCTTCGATGCATAGTGATCGATTAGCAAAATTGTTTGTAATGTTAAACAGGGTGCAACAACAGAGTATTCGTTTGTTAGGGTGAATATAAGGAGACATTTAAATCATTTCCACACAAAAATAAATGCTTTATTTAATTCTGTTTAAATCATTATTACTTTTCTTTAAATTAAGACTGAAAGTCTGGGGTAAAACAATGAAATATATTCATTAAAGAATTCAAAAGTAAATTATGAAGGCATGATTAAGTTTCCAAGGCAATCATACGAAAAAACATACAGTTCATTAATTTTGACCTTGACTGTATATATATATATATATAAACAGTTGACAATGCACATCTTTGTTACTGTAGGTTAAACAAACAACTTGCTGTGCATTGATATGACATTTTAAATTTGTCCACAGTTCTGAATAGTCTAATGTTTTGTAGATTTCAAGTTGACCTGACCTGTGGGAGCAGCATGAAGCCTCGGGCAGATGTGGCCTTTCATTTTAATCCTCGCTTCACGCGATCTCCCTACATCGTCTGTAATACACTGCAGAAGGAGCGCTGGGGAAAAGAGGAGATCCACTACCTGATGCCTTTCAGTCACGGCGCTGCCTTTGAAATCATCATACTTGTACAGAAAGACTTGTTCAAGGTTAGAAATCTGAGTTTGTTATATCATGCCATGTCATATCAGCTTTAAGGGAGTATTTTTACATCTTATTTAGTTCAGTTGAATTACACTAGAGTTCATTTTCCCTATTGGTGCGGTTTATTTGGGCAGGTGTGAATGTAGCAATCGCACTCGAGTGTGCACCAAAAGCAGACCAAAAAAGCCTACTAAGACCTGCTTAAAGAGGTGGTCTCGGTACGCTTTCAAATGAACCCAGAAGCGTTTCGTTTGTGGTGAGAATAACCAAACTAAAACAGACCCAACCGCAAAAAGTACTGCGCCTGTTTGGACTAATCCACCTGCCGTAGTCCGATGTGCTATCCCATCTTATGGGATGTGGACGAAAAATATTTGTTGACAGCGCTTTGCCAACAATTTTAAACAGAGAGAAAGAGGGAAAAACATTAGATGATGGATCATTGGTAATATTTCCGGAAGATGACCATGTCACAGTTTAGCAAAATTAATTGACGCCTCCTCCTGAAGTGACTTGTGATGCGCCTTCGCCATTTGCAATGCATTAAATATTGTTTTCCAGCTGCAGCCGTGCTTCATTCTCGAAATGTATGGTTAGTGTAAAGTGATGTATACAAACTATATAGTATACTATGACCAGGAATACAATCAGTCAGCGCAGTTGTAGCTCCATTCTGACCAATAGAAAAGCAGTTTAGGAACTATGTTCAACAACATCCGGCCAATGATTTATGTGGATTTTGTCACATGACATTTTGTCACATGACTGCATTTTGTTTTTTTCAGCTGGTTCAGAACAAAGCAATCAATGTGGTGTGAAAATGACCATAAAACGGCAGAAAAATGCTACAATGTATCATTTGTTGCTCTTAGCACCAAATGAACTAAGGGTGCTTTCACACCTGTGAATCGATTCAGTTGTTCCGAAACAGAGATTACAATTGTTACATTGTTGCTCTTTGCTCTTGGAGCGGTTCGCTTTCACACTGCAAAGTTTCTAATCGGACCAAAAGAGCTAAAACAAGTCACGTGCGAGTAAACTCTCCTCACATTGGTCAGAGTGTCAGGGTTTATTTTGCAGCGTCCCGCTCAGCTGTCAGGAGAGGTGGTGGTTTGGTGGTGATTGACAGGGTGCGCGCGCGCGACGTGTCTGAGGAGAGACGCGGTGGGGAGGGGTGAGAAGGGTGCGCGACGATGCCTATTTGAGGACCTGGAGGGAGACGCGAGATTACCGGGAGATCATCACTCGTTTGCGGGCATCCGGAGACTCGCGAAACTTCCCACTCCACTCATAATTCTCTCTTCATATAGCCGTATATGCCTAATACATATCCATAAAACACTGTGATATAACCGCGCTCGGATTGGATCGCTTTCTCACTACAATCGAACCGCTCCAGGGTTCGTTTCAATCGAGCCGAGACCACCTCATTCAAGCGATCTCGGAGCCATTACTTTGGCGCGGAACAGAGTGCGATTGCCCTGTTCACATATGCCAATCGAACCGCGCTAACTGGGCAAATGAGATACTTTCCGAAACAAAAGTGTAGGTGTGAAAGCACCCTAAGATGTGAAAGCACCCAAAGAGACACTACCCTTTTATGACGATAGGCTCATTTTACAACTCCTCTAGAGTCAAGCAATTGAGTTTTACCATTTTTAAAACCATTCAGTTGATTTCCAGGTCTGGCGGGAGCACTTTTAGCTTAGCTTATCTTAGCATAGATCATTGAATCAGAATAGACCATTAGCGTTTTGCTCAAAAAATAAAAAGAGCGTTTTGATCATTTTCCTGTTTAAAACTTGACATTGTGTACTAAGACAATATTTAAAAGTTTCTATAAAAGTTATAAGTTGCTATAGGTTGTATAATAGTGCGCAAGTTCCTTGATTATCATTACACAAGAATAAGAGTATAGTTCCTAGCCATATCGGCTTGAAGAATAGCAATTTTTCAGTCTTTTAGTATACGTTGTACTGTAACTACAGGAGAGAAGAGAACTATTGAAAATCTTTGGCCATTTTTGAATAAGATGCTAACGGTCTAATCCGATTCAATGATTTATCAAGCTAAAAGTGCTCCTGCAGGATCAGAAAATCGGCTGAATGGTTAAAAAATGTTACCAGTTAAACTGTTTAACTCTTGGGGAGTCGTAAAAACTAATCTTTTTTTTTTTCTTTTAAGTGGAATGTTTCTTTAATTCTTTTATGTCATAGTCAACATTATGTTAGCTTTCATTATAAAGTAAACATTGAATTGATTAATTTTTGTTTGTTTAAAATACCTCTTCTCCTTACCATGTGGGAAGTAAGCTACCACAAAGTCTAAACATGGTGGCTCTTTGTATCAGTTCACTTATTTGAGATGCCGTATACCTTGCCTTGACAATAGACGCGAGTAGGCGGCTGCAGTCAGGGGAGAAATCAAAAAGACTTCTTATTGTGGCATTGAGATCTGCGTCTGGCAGATATTGCATTCATGTTCTTTGTTACAGATGGAACAGATGGGTTTGAAATATTGCTGCTTTAGTATACATATTACTGTGTAACTACACTGTAAAAAAATCCATTATTGTACGGTTTTATTCCGGCAGCTGGGGTGCGGGGAAAAAAGTAAAGTAACGGCCGTTTAATTACGGAAATGTACTGTAAAATAACAGAGGTTAGTTTACAGTAATTTACTGTAAAATGACAGAGGTTAAATTATGGAAATTTACTGTAAAATAACAGGTTAAATTTATGGAAATTTATTGTAAAATAACAGAGGTTAAATTATGGAAATTTACTGTAAAACAACAGAGGTTAAATTACAGAAATTTATTAATTTATTGCTGCTTTAGTATACTTATTACTGTGTAACTACACTGTAAAAAAATCCATTATTTTACGGTTTTATTCCGGCAGCTGGGGTGCGGGGAAAAAGTAAACTGCCGTTAAATTACGGAAATTTAATTTACTGTAAAATAACAAAGGTTAGTTTACAGTAATTTACTGTAAAATGACAGAGGTTAAATTACGGAAATTTACTGTAAAATAACAGATGGTAATTTACACTAATTTACTGTAAAATGACAGAGGTTAAATTACGGAAATTTACTGTAAAATAACAGGTTAAATTTATGGAAATTTATTGTAAAATAACAGAGGTTAAATTATGGAAGTTTACTGTAAAACAACAGATGTTAATTTACACTAATTTACTGTAAAATGACAGAGGTTAAATTACGGAAATTTACTGTAAAATAACAGATTAAATTTATGGAAATTTATTGTAAAATAACAGGTTCAATTTATGGAAATTTATTGTAAAATAACAGAGGTTAAATTATGGAAATTTACTGTAAAACAACAGATGTTAATTTACACTAATTTATTGTAAAATGACAGAGGTTAAATTACGGAAATTTACTGTAAAATAACAGATTAAATTTATGGAAATTTATTGTAAAATAACAGGTTCAATTTATGGAAATTTATTGTAAAATAACAGAGGTTAAATTATGGAAATTTACTGTAAAACAACAGATGTTAATTTACACTAATTTATTGTAAAATGACAGAGGTTAAATTACGGAAATTTACTGTAAAATAACAGATTAAATTTATGGAAATTTATTGTAAAATAACAGGTTCAATTTATGGAAATTTATTGTAAAATAACAGAGGTTAAATTATGGAAATTTACTGTAAAACAACAGATGTTAATTTACACTAATTTATTGTAAAATGACAGAGGTTAAATTACGGAAATTTACTGTAAAATAACAGGTTAAATTTATGGAAATTTATTGTAAAATAACAGGTTAAATTTTGGAAATTTACTGTAAAACAACAGAGGTTAAATTGCAGAAATTTACCAGTAATTTACAATTAAAGACATTTCTGCAATTTACTGTCCGTTATTTTACTGTAAATTTCTGTATTATTTTACTTTTTTTTCAGCACCCCAGCTGCCGGAAATAAACTGTAAAATTACGTTTTTTTTTTGTTTTTTTTTTTACAGTTTAGTATTTTCTTTCAAGAAGGTGAGGCAGCTGGATGTTGTTGTGTTTTGCTCATGCTTTTAGGTTGATATCAGAAATCTGAAATATTATTATCATTACATAGCTCTCAGGTGCACATAAATGTATATGGTGATGGGTGAAAAATGTATGTTCCAGTGTTTTGCATTCACTAGCACAACTGTTACTCTTACAGAGAAATCTTAAGCAAAATACAAAGTGGTAAAAGTAATATAAGTTGATATAAAGACAATCAAATAAAATTCCATGGTTTTTCATATCTGGACTTTTATTTTTTATTTTTTTAGTCCCCTGGATCTTAAAAATTAAAAAATAAAACCTAAAATTAATATCATTACATGGCATTTTGCACAGTGCCATTATTGTTATAATGTTTATACATATCTTTCAAAATTAAAGTCTTGGGTTCACTATCATCAGTCTTAGATGTGTTGGAAGACAATCAAAACAGACACCAGTATTCCCAGTGGATTAATCCAATAGATTCTGATTAAGTTAACATGCTATACGAGTTCCAGAGACTTGACTTCTAGAACAAAGTTTCATACACAGAAAACCTAAAGAGCAGATCAGCGCAAACGCCTCATTGCAGAAGTTCAACATGTTGGAGGAATTATAGTGGTTTTGGACTTGTTTTGTGGCCACAGGACCTGCGCATTCCAGTCACTGAGTCGACCATCTGTCTGACAGCTTACATTTGGACAAAACTGGGTCATGAAACAGGACAATGATCCCGAGCATAACAGCAAACCTACAACAGAACAGCACTTAGGGATGTGTCTGAATGTTTTGCTATTTTAAGGATGGGGAAAAATAGTCTGTGCACCCAGCGCCTGGTCTAAAAGAGTTATCTTTACTCTCTGAAGGAGTTATGGGTGTGTTTTGAGCATAACCTACGTTAAAACAATCAGAGACTCATCTCCCATTTCAGAGTGAGTTGTGTTACACCATGGCACATTCGCTATTATCTGATGGAACTTTTAG